CCCGGCAAATTTTGACGCGCAAAGTTGTTCCTACCCTTTCCCGTTTTGTGTGGTATTTGCAGGACTTTTCCAGGGTGCCAAGGGAATCCCGGCAAATTTTGACCGGCAAAGTTGTTCCTACCCTTTCCCGTTTTGTGTGGTATTTGCATCACTTTTCCCGGCAAATTTTGACCCGCAAAGTTGTTCCTACCCGTTCCCGTTTTGTGTGGTATTTGCATCACTTTTCCCGAGTGCCAAGGGGATCCCGGCAAATTTTGACCGGCAAAGTTGTTCCTACCCTTTCCCGTTTTGTGTGCTATTTGCAGGACTTTTCCAGGGTGCCAAGGGAATCCCGGCAAATTTTGACCCGCAAAGTTGTTCCTACCCGTTCCCGTTTTGTGTGGTATTTGCATCACTTTTCCAGGGTGCCAAGGGAATCCCGGCAAATTTTGACCCGCAAAGTTGTTCCTACCCTTTCCCGTTTTGTGTGGTATTTGCAGAACTTTTCCAGGGTGCCAAGGGAATCCCGGCAAATTTTGACCGGCAAAGTTGTTCCTACCCGTTCCCGTTTTGTGTGGTATTTGCATCACTTTTCCAGGGTGCCAAGGGGATCCCGGCAAATTTTGACCGGCAAAGTTGTTCCTACCCTTTCCCGTTTTGTGTGGTATTTGCAGCACTTTTCCCGGGTGCCAAGGGGGTCCCGGCAAATTTTGACCCGCAAAGTTGTTCCTACCCGTTCCCGTTTTGTGTGGCATTTGCATCACTTTTCCCGTGTGCCAAGGGGATCCCGGCAAATTTTGACCGGCAAAGTTGTTCCTACCCTTTCCCGTTTTGTGTGGTATTTGCATCACTTTTCTAGGGTGCCAAGGGAATCCCGGCAAATTTTGACCGGCAAAGTTGTTCCTACCCTTTCCCGTTTTGTGTGGTATTTGCAGCACTTTTCTAGGGTGCCAAGGGAATCCCGGCAAATTTTGACCCGCAAAGTTGTTCCTACCCGTTCCCGTTTTGTGTGGTATTTGCATCACTTTTCCGGGGTGCCAAGGGAATCCCGGCAAATTTTGACCGGCAAATGTTGTTCCTACCCTTTCCCGTTTTGTGTGGTATTTGCAGGACTTTTCCAGGTTGCCAAGGGGATCCCGGCAAATTTTGACCGGCAAAGTTGTTCCTACCCTTTCCCGTTTTGTGTGGTATTTGCAGGACTTTTCCAGGGTGCCAAGGGGATCCTGGCAAATTTTGACCGACAAAGTTGTTCCTACCCTTTCCCGTTTTGTGTGGTATTTGCATCACTTTTCCAGGGTGCCAAGGGGATCCCGGCAAGTTTTGACCGGCAAAGTTGCTCCTGCACCAGGCCCTCCTGGGCCCCAAGAAGCAATGAAACATAAGAAACAGATGAAGGATGAAGCAGATGAAGCAGATCATGAAGATGATGAAGATGATGGAGATGATGAAGATGATGAAGATGATGAAGATGATGAAGATGATGAAGATGATGAAAATGATGAAGATGATGAAGATGATGAAGATGATGAAGATGATGATGAAGCTGATTGGGATCATTGATGTCAAGGATGCACATGAAACATATTGAAACAACCGTGGAGATGAGAGAGATGATGGGGATGATGAAAAAAGATGATGAAGATGATGAAGATGATGATGATAGATGATGAAGATGATGACGATAATGAAGATGATGATGATGATGCGGATGAGGATGAGGATGATGATGATGAAGCTGATTGAGGGGGCCCTCCCGCAGGAGGAATTAAATAATTTAAATATGAAGGCCCCGATTTAAATATGAATATTTAAATCGGGGCCTTCATATTTAAATTATTTAATTCCTCCTGCGGGAGGAAGCCCGGCCCCCCCCCCTCCAGGATTTAAATTATTTAAATTATTTAAATTATTTAATTACCGGGCCCGATTTACATAATTTAAATATGAAGCTCCCGAATTAAATATTCATATTTAAATCGTGGCCTTCATATTTAAATTATTTAAATCGGGCCCGGGAATTAAATAATTTAAATAATTTAAATAATTTAAATCCTGGAGGGGGGGGGGCGGGCCTCCTCCCCCAGGAGGAATTAAATAATTTAAATTGAAGGCTCGATTTAATATGAATCTATTTAATTCGGGGCCTTCATATTTTTTTTTTTTGTTTTTTTTTTTTTTTTTTAAAATTATTTTAATTCTCCGGCAAAAGGAGGCCCCGCCCCCCCCCCCCCCCCTCCTGGATTTAAATATTTAATTTTTAAATATTTAATTATTAAATTATTTAAGTATTGAAATTATTTTTTAAAATTATTAATTCCCGGGCCCGAATAAAAATTTAAATATGAAGCTCCCGAATTACATATTCATATTTAAATCGGGGCCTTCATATTTAAATTATTTAAATCGGGCCCGGGAATTAAATAATTTAAATAATTTAAATAATTTAAATATTTTAAATCCTGGAGGGGGGGGGGGGCGGCCTCCTCCCGCAGGAGGAATTAAAGAATTTAAATATGAAGGCCCCGAATTAAATATTAATATTTAATTCGGGGCCTTCATATTTAAATTATTTAATTCTTCCTGCGGGAGGATTTAAATTATTTAAATTATTTAAATTATTTAAATTATTTAATTCCCGCGCCCGATTTAAATAATTTAAATATGAAGGCCACGATTTAAATATGAATATTTAATTCGGGAGCTTCATATTTAAATTATTTAAATCGGGCCCGGGAATTAAATAATTTAAATAATTTAGATAATTTAAATAATTTAAATAATTTAAATAATTTAAATAATTTAAATAACTTAAATAATTTAAATAATTTAAATAATTTAAATAATTTAAATAATTTAAATCCTGGAGGGGGGGGGCCGGGCCTCCTCCCGCAGGAGGAATTAAATAATTTAAATATGAAGGCCCCGAATTAAATATTAATATTTAATTCGGGGCCTTCATATTTAAATTATTTAATTCTTCCTGCGGGAGGAGGCCCGCCCCCCCCCCTCCAGGATTTAAATTATTTAAATTATTTAATTCCCGGGCCCGAATTAAATAATTTAAATATGAAGCTCCCGAATTAAATATTCATATTTAAATCGTGGCCTTCGTATTTAAATTATTTAAATCGGGCCCGGGAATTAAATAATTTAAATAATTTAAATAGTTTAAATAATTTAAATAATTTAAATCTGGGAGGGGGGGGGGCCGGGCCTCCTCCCGCAGGAGGAATTAAATAATTTAAATATGAAGGCCCCGAATTAAATATTAATATTTAATTCGGGGCCTTCATATTTAAATTATTTAATTCCTCCTGCGGGAGGAGGCCCGGCCCCCCCCCCTCCAGGATTTAAAATATTTAAATTATTTAAATTATTTAAATTATTTAAATTATTTAATTCCCGGGCCCGATTTAAATAATTTAAATATGAAGGCCACGATTTAAATATGAATATTTAATTCGGGAGCTTCATATTTAAATTATTTAAATCGGGCCCGGGAATTAAATAATTTAAATAATTTAAATAAATTAAATAATTTAAATAATTTAAATAATTTAAATATTTTAAATCCTGGAGGGGGGGGGGCCGGGCCTCCTCCCGCAGGAGGAATTAAATAATTTAAATATGAAGGCCCCGAATTAAATATTAATATTTAATTCGGGGCCTTCATATTTAAATTATTTAATTCTTCCTGCGGGAGGAGGCCCGCCCCCCCCCCCCTCCAGGATTTAAATTATTTAAATTATTTAATTCCCGGGCCCGAATTAAATAATTTAAATATGAAGCTCCCGAATTAAATAGTCATATTTAAATCGTGGCCTTCATATTTAAATTATGTAATTCGGGCCCGGGAATTAAATAATTTAAATAATTTAAATAATTTAAATATTTTAAATCCTGGAGGGGGGCGGGGCGGGCCGCAGGCCGTGGCCGGGAGACCACACATGGTTTTGGGGTCTAAGTATCTACCAGAGGTTTACATGGCGGATCCGTTGGGACAACTTTATGTCGTCGTGGTGGGTCGCGTGAAATTTGTTGTTGGCAAGTGTAGGCACCCAGAGGGTCCATTTGTATTACTATTATGGAATTAGGTACCCCAAAACCATACTGAATAGGGTTTTGGGGTACCTAATTCCATAATAGTATGACAAATGGACCCTCTGGGGCAGTTCTTGTCCAGGCGGACGTTTTCTTGCACAAGAACCAGGCGCTGCCAGCGCGCTGCCTGCCTCCACCTCCGCCATTTCCTTGGGGGCTAGCCCAACTCGTGCCCTAAACCCTAAACCCTAAACCCTAAACCCTAAACCCTAAACCCTAAACCCTAAACCCTAAACCCTAAACCCTAAACCCTAAACCCTAAACCCTAAACCCTAAACCCTATAAACCCTAAACCCTAACAAACCCCACACAGGTTGACCAGCACCTCGGGCCCGCAGCTGAGATTTGCCTGAGCCTTCCACCCGCTGCAGTCCTTCCTTGCTTGGAGGTTCATGGCACTTATGAACCAAATATAACTGTACTTACATTAGGGTTTAGGGTTTAGGGTATAGGGTTTAGGGTTTAGGGTTTAGGGTTATAAGTACAGTTACAATTGGTTAATCAGTGCCATGAACCTCCAAGTGGGCATTGCAGGAAGAGAGCCTTCCCAGGCCAGGCGGTGGGGAAGTCTATTCCTTTCAGGGTTTGGGGTTTAGGGTTTGGGGTTTACACTGTGTTGACTCCCCCTGCCTCACAAACAAGCCGTGCCTTACCACGACGGCGGGCTGAGAAACCTGTTGTCCCGGCGAGAAGGTGCGTGACCCCGAATGCCTGAAGGGTTTGGTTTACGATTTTGGGTACCTATTTTGAATTTCCACGCAAAAGGTTTAGATAGGGTGGTTCTCTAAATTAGGGTGCCATTTTGGATCATTGCAAGGGTGCCCAGAGAACTACTCATGCAGGGCACATGCAGAGTACCGCTTTAGCAAACACTGTGTGCTCTTGCCGATGGAGGAGACAAGGTCCGCTTTTTGGTCGGCATGAACAAGGCACATTGAGTGCAGAAGCCTTCACAGTGTGTCTTTCAGACACCCTTGTTTTTTATTATGACTGCTAGAACGACAGATTCCTGAAACCAAATCGGGGTTCTGATTGTTGCATTGGGCTTGTGGGTACAAGGCCAACAAGCCCCAGGCCAGAAACGTGTCGCACCCGGCATTGGCTGCCTAACCCCATCCTCATCGTGATCCTGAAAAGTCGCTCCAACTGAGGTTGCCAGATATGTAGGTGAAGACGGGGACACAGGGTGCTTCCCTCGGACTTGGGGTCGAATTCGCTATGTTCGACCTCGCCCTCCAGATTTCGAGGTCCTGGGTGGATGGGAAGAAGACGTACGTTGCGGGCTCAGCAAGGAAGCGTTTTTCTTCGTGTTGGGCACCGTAGATGTTTGGCCCTGGAGCAACAACCACTGCACCCACAACCGATCCCGAATTCAGTCCTGCGCCCCGAGCGACAACGCCCCCGAAGTCGCAGGACGAACCCACTACCCTTACTTGGGCTTTAGACAGCTGAGAGTTAAGGCAGACATTCCTTAGTCAAGAGGCAATGCTTCCCTCCTACGCAACAGCCAAGCCCTACCTTAGGCGCCTCTGCAACAAAGAGAAGACAAGCACCCCGCATGCGCAGCCACAGCAAAACACGACCCCCGCCCCCGCAAATCTCCCAAGCCCAACGCCGGCTCCGCCATGCTCCCCATAGAGCAAAAAGCAGCAGAAAGAAAGCAACTAGGAAGTCGTGAACTTTTAGGGGTTTAGGGTTTAGGGCTTAGGGTAAATTAGCAGTAACAGGTGATGGTTTTCTACGTTCTTGAGCTGTTATGTGTTGCAACGGGGCATGGTGCTTTCGCTGTTGCATGCCGCCAGAGGGCGGCATTCGCCCACTTACCTTACCTGCTCGGCCAGGTGTGCTTTTGGGGTTAAGCGTTTACTTAAACTGGGTTTAGGGTTTAGAGTTTAGAGTTTAGAGTTTAGGGTTTAGGGTTTAGGGTTTAGGGTTTACCTCCATGCTTCAAAAAGTGTTTAACCTGCTTCATCATGGTTCCGGGCTCTTCAGTGAGCAAACAGCACACGGTAACCGCTCACATCCAAACGAATGGCTTCAACAAAGCCGCCGGAAGATCGTTCTCAGCTACCCTAAACCCTAAATCCTAAACCCTAAACCCTAAACCCTAAACCCTAAACCTTAAGCCCTAAACCCTAAACCCCTTGTCACAGTCAGGTTGGCCGTGTGAAGGAGTACTGGCCAGGCAAGGGCTACGGCTTCATCGCCCAAGCCTCGTTTAGGGTTTAGGGTTTAGGGTTTAGGGTTCAGTGTTGAGGGTTCAGGGTTTAGGGTTTAGGGGTTCGGGTTTTGGGCTGAGGGATGCCCAGGGAGATGTTCAAGACGTTCAGGGTTCAGGGTTTGGTTTAGGTATCTGATTTTCCTTAGTGGCTGAATGAGTGCACTTTACACTTTTTCGGATACGATCATCCCCTATAGAACTGAAAGTGTACGCTTTTTTGGTGTTTATGAACTCAGCAACTCAGTTTCTGTGTACTTTTGCCCTACACCCAAAGCCCTAAACCCTAAACCCTAAACCCTAAATCCTTTCCGCGTCTGGAGTTCAAGCCCAAGTCAAACCCCGTCTTGGGTCAATGTTCAGATAGGGCATGCCCATCGCGATTCCATGTTTCCCTTTTTCGGCTGGAGTGGATCTAGAAGCAAATTCCCTAAGTACAGGATACTGTATGGGTTTAGGGCTTTAAATTCCTTAAGTACAGGATACTGTATGGGTTTAGGGCTTCTAATTCCTTAAGTACAGGATATGGGTTTAGGGCTTTAACTTCCTTAAGTACAGGATATGGGTTTAGGGTTTTAAGGCTATCTCCGAACAAGGAGGAGCCCCTCCCCCCCCTCCCCCACCCAAGCTGCTGAAGGGAGGGCAAGTTGCGAAGTTTTCAGCCCCCCAATTATCCACGCCCAAAGGGTTCAGGGTCGATAGGGCGTAGGGTTCTATGCGTTGTGGGCGTTTAGGCTTGGTAGCCAGATATACACTCGACACAGTCTCGGAAGCCGCCAGTTTCTTGAACCGAAACGGAACAGAAGCCGCAACAGAGCAGAATAGTGTCATTCATGAAGCTTTGGGGCCTAGGGTCAATTGCCGTATGGAGCTCAATACCCCGTACCAAGGTTTTTTTTGGGGGAGGGGAATGGTTCCTGATAAAGGAGACTGTGCTATAATTGAGGTAGAGAAGGGATACCCCCCCCCCCCCCCCATTTTGAGCAATACCTCTGACCCACACAGCCCTATAGAGTCAAAGGGTCTGCGAGCTGCACGCGCGCTAAACTTCTTCAACCCTGTACCATCAACCCTCAACCCCAAGCAATACAGCTGCCCTGTGAGCACTGTGAAGCCTTATTTGGTCGAGGGTTGTAGGGTTTGAGGGTTTAAGGGCCCAAACCTTGCACCTCTCCGACTCCGTACGTCCCATCTGACTGAGGCTTGCCAAGAGACGCAAGGAATTTTTCAGGGCACGCGGCTTAGCAAGAGATGGTGGTTGTCTAGAATTGCGGAGGGGGGGGGGGATTTCGGTGTGCCCTTACTTAGAGTTTAGGGTTTGGGGTGTAGGGTTGGGGTGTAGGGGACCACTCTTGTTTGGAAACTGCCACAGTTGCAACGTGAGTTCAGCATCACAAGTTGCCGCCTGTGCATGGTGCAGCGTTGGCTTCAAACGAGCTGCTCAGGCGGATGTCAAATACTCGCATGCGCACACAGTTCATATGGGTGTTTTCTCTAAACTTGGACTCCTTTTGACCTAAATAAGAGGCCCCAAAAGGGAAAATAGTTTAGAGAAGTCACCATATGGGTTGTTCTCTAAATTTGGGTCCCCTTTTGTTGGCCCTTTTTTATTTGCCGTACTATGTAGGGACCCACAAAGGGATCCTAATGTAGAGAACTACCCAAGCGCAGCTGTTCTTGCTTGCTGTCTTTGAAGGCTGGCCTTGTAACGCAGTCCTCGTTCAGGGTTCAGGGTTTAGGGTTTAGGGTTTAGGGTTTAGGGTTAGGGTTTAGGGTTTAGGGTTTAGGGTTTAGGGTTTAGCGTTTAGGGTTTAGGGTCTTGGACCATGTGTGGGAAAGATGCTGCGTGCGGTCGCATTCGTGTAGATCCATCTCGTCCCTGGGCCGCACTTATCTGCAGTGCGTTGGTCATTGACCTTTGCTGAGCCTTTATAAATGCAAGTTGCTGTTGGGCCTTGGGTGGAAGCCTTCCAAAATCTCCACGGGATGGGTCCTGCAAACGCCAAGCCCTCAAGGCAGAGTCTAACCCCTCAAGACAGAAAAAGAAACCGTAGGCGGAGCGCCCTCAGAGCTCTCAAATTTTCGATGGGCTCGGAAACGACATCCCAAACCACAAAACGATGACATGCTCAATTTACCATAGGGTTTAGAGGTTTAGGGTTTAGGGTCCAGGGTTTAGGAAGAAAAACCTCCCTGTCTTGCCAAGAGATGATGAACGTGCCGCGGGAGGCACAGATGCCCACAAGGCACGAGGCACCAAAAGCAGCCAAATAGAAGAAAACACCCCGCCTTCCCGGAAGCCCCAAAGGCCCGAAACCTCCCAAAAGGATGAGAAGGAATGGTCCGCTGTTCTCGGACCACACCCGTCTCAAGCCTCAAGCCCGGCCCCCCCCCTCCCCCCCCCTCCCCCCCCCCCTCCCTCCCCGCTCCCCCCCCCCTCCCTCCCCCCCCCCCCCGTCCCCCCTCCCCCCCCCTCCCCCCCCCCTCCCCCCCCCCCTCCCCCCCCCCTCCCCCCCGCCTCCCCCCCCCGCCTCACCGCCCTCCTCCCCCGCCCCTCCCCTCCCCCCCCCTCCCCCCTCCCCCCCCTCCTCCCCCCCCCCGCCGCCACACCCCTTGTAAACCCCAGCAGCAGCACTCTGGAGTGGTCCTGAGTTTCTTCAATGTGTACCTAAACCCTCCCTAAACCCTCACACGCGGCACCTGCCAGTGTGAGACCCGAAACCCTAAACCCTCAACCCTGCTTGGAGGTTCATTGGTAGTTATAATATAAATAAGTGCCCTGAAAAAGGTCAGAACCAGTTAGAATTCCAGTTACCCTACTTAGAACCCCACTTTTGACTAAACCCTGAACCCTAAACCCTAAACCCTAAACCATAAATTCCTTCTACTTTGTGCCATCGAAGGCCTGAGTGGAATCCTGGGATGCACGCCTCCGGAGATGGACGACCACGACGCCGACTGGCTCCAAAAGGCCCAGGGCAGGGTTTAGGGTTTAGGGTTTAGGGTTTAGGGTTTAGGGTTTAGGGTTTAGGGTTTAGGGTTTAGGCTTTAAGGTTTAGGGTCTAGGGTTTAGGGTTTCGGGTTTCGGGTTTCGGGTTTCGGGGTTAGGGTTTAGGGTTTAGGGTTTAGGGTTTAGGGTTTAGGGTTGCGGCTTGCTCTTGTTCCTGGTTGGGGTTGATAGGCCCTTTAGGCTTTACATACACTCTTTAGGGCACGGCTTACATAAACTCTGTGGGGTTTATGTAAGCTCTACAGAGCTTATATAAGAAGGTATGGGGCAAGCAATGACGGTTCGATGTGTTTCAGGTTTGTCGCCAGCTCCAAACTCGCCGCTTTGCGGTGCTGCAGCTGCCACCGAAGCTCGATGCTTGGCCACTTACGCAACCCTAATCCCTAAACCCTAAACCCTAAACCCTAAACCCTAAACCCTAAACCCTTGCGGAGTCAGGGATGACCCGTGAATGCATCAGGGGGGGTGGGGGGTGGGTGGCGAGGGATGCGGGGTGCGGGGGATGAGTGGTTTAGGGTTTAGGGTTTAGGGTTTAGGGTTTAGGGTGCCCAGGGTGGTGGTGGTGGTGATGGTGGTGGTGGCGGGTTCGGATGGCTTGGCTTTGTGACGGGATTGGCTGTCGCATTCCTTCCGGTGCAGGACGTGATGTACATGTCAAGCTTCTTTGCAGCTGTAAGCCAGGGGAGAAATGTTATTGCAGGTCGCTTTCCTCGTCTGGGTAGTGCTTTAGTGCCGCTTGCTTTGACAGCTAGGGCAGTCTGCGGCTTCAAGGTCCAGGGTTCAGGGCTGGGGTGGTCGCATGCTTCTCGCAAATCAGTTGTTTGACTCTTTGGTTCAAGCCCGAAGGCGCGTCTAATGATGTCTAATGTCTGAATAAACTACTATTTGCTTAAGAACCCCAAAGGAATAAAAATAAACAGTCCCTATATTACCCTTGAATAAGGTTAGTAGTATGGCTCGGCGCTGCACAGTTCTTTTGGCAGTCGAAGTTCTCTTTTTTCATTCCAGGCCTGCGTGTCAGGAAACCTTTTGTTGCTTCGGCATCCTGCCGAGGGTCCGGGGGACTCGCGATGCAAAATACGTAAGAGATGAGTCTAGATTCACCTATATCCCCCTGGGAATTATTTGCTATTTTTGTTCATATAAAACCCAAGAGCATATTCAACATATTGTTTTTGATTAAGGTTCTCAGGGGAGTATAGTCACACCTTGACTTGCAGCAGTTTTGTGGTTGCCGGAGGAACAGCTGTACACGTCCTTCTTGGACCCGCAGACTTACCCTTTGCTGGTGGCAGAGGGAGCTCCTTAGGCAGCAGTGCAGATTCTTGCAGACATGGATGTATGCACAAACCCTAAACCCTAAACCCTAAACCCTAAACCCTAAACCCTAAACCCTAAACCCTAAACCCTAAACCCTAAACCCTAAACCGAAATGCAGCTGAGGCATTGGCTCAAGAGCGGTCGAAAGAGGCGTTGACCAATGCAAGGCATGATGGCTGAAGCTGCACAGGGGTACATTGGCATATTCTTGCTAACGGGTTTAGGGTTTAGGGTTTAGGGTTTAGGGTTTAGGGTTTAGGGTTTAGGGTTTAGGGTTTAGGGTAACCCTTGCTGGCACTTAGTTGTCCTTGTGTGTGTGCATACAGGTGCTGGTATTGGTTGAACCTGAGTCACATCAGTCAGGCTCCTCCCAACAGACTTCAACTTCTTCGCCACCCAGTGGGTTGAGGTGTGCGAGAGCATTTGCCAGACTGTGACGTATGAGAAGCTTGGCATGGATCAAGAAGAGGTGTGACACAAGAACTTAGCCACAGAGGCGGAGCTCACGTTTCACGATGGTTCCCGGAAATTCCCCGAGAGCCCACGGTCTCTTGAATCTCGGAAGGTATTTAACGTGTTAGAACAATGTCCCATTTTGCGGCACGATTCCGTACTTGAGGGGCACTGGGCTCGCGACAGGAAATCCGTTTTTTCAGCGCTGTGGCCCGAGGCTCCTGCGCCAGGTCAAACCAGGCTTCCCTGGTGACGAGTCCAGGAAGGCACTTGGGTTAGGGTTTAGGGTTCAGGGTTCTAGGGTTTAGGGTTTAGGGTTTGGGGTTTGGGGTTTTGGGTTAAGGGGGGCCCTTAAACGGGAACCCTTCTTCACCTTCTTTCGGCTCTCTTAAACAGGGACCTTTTCCAGAGGGCCAAAATCCCCAAGGGTCCCCCGAAGCCCCTAAACCCTGAACCCTAAACCCTAAACCCTAAACCTTAAACCCTAAACCCTAATTAAACCCTAAACCCTAACCCCTAATGTCTTCCCTCTTGGGCTTGCAGAGGGCCTTGCCAGGGAGCATCTTCCAGACCTCCAGAACCCAAAGCCCTGTTTTGGCAGGTTGCCTTAAGAACCCTAAACCCTAAACCCTAAACCCTAAGTTGCGGCCGGCAACCTAAGTGGCCCCCCCAGAAGAGGCCTGAAGAGGCCACGAGAGGCGGAATTCGCGCGAAACCACAGCGGGCATCGAAACGCAACGGAATTCGTGCGAAACCACGGCGAGCGTCGAAACGCAGGCCCCGCCCCACCGCGTGCGCCGATGCGGCCCGCAACCTAAGTGGCCCCCCCAGAAGAAGCCCAAAGAAGCCAGAACAAGAGGCCGGAATTCGCGCGAAGCCGCAGTGGGAGCGTCGAAACCCTAAACCCTACCCTAAACCCTAAACTGGGTTCTTAAGGGCGGAGGCCTTTTGGGTGTATGCGGGCCTCAGCTCCCAAAAAAGGGGCTTCGGGTGACCCAAGGAGCGCCAGCATCAGTCCCGCGGCATGCTCCGGGTGTCCTACAATTCGAGCGCAGGCCAGCCACATTAGGGCACTTAATGGTTTAGGGTTTAGGGTTTAGGGTTTAGGGTTTAGGGTTTAGGGTTTAGGGCTTACAAATCGAGTGCAGGCCAGGACTTGAAGAAGGAGCCCAAGCTATGGTTTAGGGTTTTAGGGTTTAGGGCTTAGGGCTTAGGGCTTAGGGCTTAGGGCTTAGGGCTTAGGGCTTAGGGCTTAGGGCTTAGGGCTTAGGGCTTAGGGTTTAGGATCTTGCTTATACAAATCTCAAGGGAATAGTAGAAGTAACATGTTTGTTTTTGTTTCAGGTTTGGAGGGCTTATAGGCCCCCGTGAGGGGGATGCTTAATAATCATAACATTAATAAGAACCAGAATACGATTGCTAATGCTAATACTAATAGTAATACGAATACTCATACTAACAATAGTGATCATATAACAAACTTAGAGCTCAATGCGATGAAGTCAGAGGCGTATTCCTTACTCATGGGGCCATGAAGTGAAGGATGGTAAGACAGGAACTTGAGGCTTTACTGTAGGTTTTGGGGTTTAGGGTTTAAGGTTTAGGGTTTAGGGTGATACGTGCTGAGTTTCTGCAGCGAGGCGCACTCAGGCGAGAGAGCCCGCAAGCCTGTTGCAAAAGGGTTCAGCTGCCAGGACACCATTACGACAACTCCTTTGTCACGTTTATGGGGGCCGGCAATGTGCCTTGCAAGGTAAACAGGAGTTGTCCATTCGGTGCTTGATCTAACAGCCCTTATTGGGGAACTTTCTTCCCAGAGAGCCCAATACCCCTTAATTAAGGAATGTACCTGAAATCATCTTACGGACCTATATAGAAATTAAGGCAGAACCCTAAACCCTCAAGCGTTAAGAATCATTGGCCTCGGATTAATAAATACCCTCGAGCGGTATTAGGAGAGTCATTGAGGAGAGTGTGGTTCTGTACTGACCGGGCATGTTGATCAATCATGTCTGTAGACCTTGGGTGTCTTGAAGGAACTCTAGCAGTTAGCAAAAAAACCCAAACCTGAAACCCTAAACCCTTGACTGGGCCCTTGCCTTCTAGCCCCTCTCGAGTCAGACATTTCTCCTTTCTTCGAGTCATGATGGCACATGACATGGACCGTTTTGCATCCCTGCAGTGTGCTTGCGAGGCTGCTGGTAGCAAGCCTAAACCCTAAACCCTAAACCCTAAACCCCAAATCCTGGCCGCTGTATGCCTTGTGTATGCATCAAGTCTCCTGGGCCATATCGCGGTAAATGAGTTCTGTTGGCCACCTCCTTATTTGTTATTCCTGGTTCCTCTGGTTTCGTTTGGTCTTGCAACGAACCCCAAGCCCCAAGCCCAGAGCCCGAATGACTAAACCCCTAGACCCCTAGCCCCAAACCCAAGTTTGACAGAACAGAGGTTTCTCGATGAAAATATGGAGGTAAGGGCCAAAGACAAAGCATACAGCAAGCAAACCAGGAGCAACCAAAGCACCACCCCCTGAACGAAGGGCCCTCCACCTCCTAGCGACTTAGGGGTTTCATAGTTATGTAAGAAAATAGAATGTACCCTAAACCCTAAACCCTAAAGCCTAAACCCTAAACCCTAAACCCTAAACCTAAACCCTAAACATACTGTACTACATCACGTCGCATCACATACTTATGTGTCATGGCATTGACAGAGGTGCGAGGCGCTTTGCAATTCGCTGGCCTCTCGCCCCCAGCAAGCACTTCCGACTCTTCTGACGCTCAGCAGGATTTTCTATTCTTACATCGTGTTGGACATCTAAATGAAAATGACTGCTGAACATAGAAAAGAAAAGTTAAAGCATAGACGACACTTAGAGTAGGGACAAGCTCGCCCCGCCAGCGCAATGCCCAGCAGAAACCCCAAAAAGCACACGGGAGGCTTATGTGTACTTGTGGCAGTGCTATGGGCTTCCCCTTTCAAGGGTTGAAGGGCGTCGTCGAATAGAACCACGTTGCAGCTTCATAGTCGCAGAGTGACTCAGGAGGATCCAGACCAGTTCCAGCCCTGTGAGGCATTCATGACGGAGGCGAGGCATTTGCCACTGTCCAGGACATACTTTGAGACGTTCCCTCTTATACGAACAATCCTTAACAGGGATTCTACTAGGGGGCATTCGAGTCCCTTATTCTTAAGGACTTTTCGCAAAAGGGGGAACATCCCAACCCTAAATCTTAAACCCTAAACTCTACAACTGTCAGCTGCTTCGAGATCCCTGAGGCCGACTTGCGAGAGGATGGTGGCATCTGCTTCCTGCTGTTTCTTGGGGCCCCCAAATTGCAAAACAGGGTTTAGGGTTTAGGGTTTAGGGTTTAGGGTTTAGGGTTTAGGGTTTAGGGTTTAGGGTTTAGGGTTTAGGGTCCCTAAAGCCGAAATCTTCAACCCTGGCTGGACCAGAACCCTCAAAGCACCCTAAACCCTAAACCCTAAACCCTAAACCCTAAACCCTAAACCCTAAACCCTAAACCCTAAACCCTAAACCCTAAACCCTAAACCCTAAACCCTAAACCCTACAGGCTCGCCTGGCCAGTCCACTGGACTCCTTGTATCGGCCTTTGCTACACCGGGTGGAGTACGCCGAGACAGCTTCTGCGCGCATTAATGTCCCTAGGCGTGACACTCAGCTGGCGAAACTGCAATCATCCATCGGGGGGTTGAGGCTGTAGGGTTAAAAAAGGGGTCCAGGGTTTAGGGTTTAGGGTTTAGGCTAACGAGGTCCTAGGCATCCACCAGTCAGGCCATATACTTCCTGAGGGACTACAACGTGGGCGAAGCTCCTTCAGCTTCAACGCATTTGGAGATACACGCCTTCAACCGTACTGTGGTGTTGCTCGGTTGCATTTAGAGGGTGGGGGTCGATGATGGGCTACGCGATGTGGAGGTTCCTCGAATAAGGACTGTGGTATTACGGGGTATATGATAAGGAGACCACATATTTTGGGAGCCTTTCATACCCTGCTGTCGGTTTTGTTCGCTGGGGAGGGGGCCCTTCGACTGCCAGGAGTGAGCCTTACTTCCTGGGCCGAAGAAATGCCGATGATTCTTCAACCGCTGAACCGGGCTCTGCAACTTGCAACTCAATTGGCTTTGTCATGACTCTGGTTTAAAAACACACCGCGCCACGACATGCTAGAAGCACCATGCGAGAGGCGCAAAGCGATGCATCGGCAGAAGGCAGCCACAAAGGCGAGAGAGATTGCTCCACATTCTCTCTGGAGGCTGGGGCAACTTGCGGATACTTGCGGCAACGGGAACTCGGGATGTAAGTAGCTTCGACCGCGCCCTGGCACAGGACACGGAAGAGGGAGAATTGGTGCAGAGCCCTCAGCAGCAAATTACCCTCAAACCTCTTGGTAACGACGTAACGAGCTTTGCGCGCTTGAAGGATGCTGCAGACCCTCACCTGTAGGTGCGACTGGAGCGCCCTCCTGGTTCCAGCCGTATCTGAAGCGTAGATGGTGCGCCCTGCGCACCACTTCGCCAGCACTTGGGGGGATGAGCGAGCACGTGGCTTTGTTTGTTTTGCAGCACCAAACTCTGGAAGGAATACACTCTTTCGTGTAGTAGAGACCCGTGATTTAGCTCGCCCCCCCACTTGCAGACCAGTTTTGTCTCTCGATGTTCGCATAGGAGGCGAAGCGAAACAGAGAAGACCCGCTTTTTTAAAGCAACTTTCCGCTGCAACTTTAACTTATTACCATCGAGTGATCATCTGCGGCTTCCCTTCAGTTCTGAAAGCGCAACGCTGTACAGCCTTAAATTTTCAAGCTTAAGCGACATTACGCTGTACAGCATACACCTTCAAGCTTAAGCGGGACAATCTAGGAGAAAGGGCGCAGTCCGGTCAAAAGTTTGCCTGGATGTCTAACAGCACTGTTGGACACCATCTCTGGTGCGTGCAATGATGAGGCGACGTGTTCCTCCACAAGAAGCAAGTTGAGGACGCAGCTTCACGCCCTATAGGCAAAGCAGAACCCTAAACCCTAAACCCTAAACCCCACAAAAATGCGCCTGTCATGGAGAGGAGGCCAATCTGGAGAAAGGCAACCTTGTGACGTTCTCCGTGGAGGCGTTGGCCATAGAGTCGAAGTGACGTCCGTGAGAAGGGCTCGAATGGACTGCCTTGTTGCTGCCAGATCAACAGCAAGAGCCGGCCACAAGCCAGAAATGCCGGGGGCTGGCGATGTGTAGCTTTGAAACGGCGAGAAACGTGATCGGCAATGTGCAAGGGGAAGGGATGGCAGCACTTTGGTGTGGCTACAGCGATGTGACAGGTCGAGCGCGTGAAGGCGCCCTCCTATGCCAGTGAATCTGGTGACACGGCCTGCACAGTCATAGTGCCACCTACACTTTGTGACTCCAATATCCCTTAATTAAGGATTATACCTTAAATCATATTAGGGATCCTATTATAACTTAAGGTATATTCCTTAATTAAGGGATATTGGAGTCTCTGGGGGTACACTTTGTGACTGTCCTCAAACGGTCTCAAACGGTGGGCCTGAGGTCGGCAGGCCGCCCCGCAGTCAGAGGCGCCTGCAAGTGCTTTCTTGCCGCGAAAGGGTTTCCCAAAGTGTGTGCGCTGCAGCCCCTGCTCCAACCTATATCCCCCTTGGTAATTAAATTGTTTTGTGAATATAAAACCCTAGAGGATTCAAAATATTATGTTTATTGAGGTTCTAAGGGGAGTATAGAAACAAGTGCCAGGCAGATATTCAGATGGAAGACGCCTGAGACAGCAGGTGAAAGCACACAGCATGGCGCCCCTAAACCCTAAACCCTAAACCCTAAACCCTAAACCCTAAACCCTAAAGTGCCTGGCGTTACGCTGACAGTCAAATTGGCCAGGGCAAGTCAAGGCACAGCACGGCTGCTAGAGCTGGTTGCGAGCAGACGTGCTTTCAAAGCAGGGTTTAGGGTTTAGGGTTTAGGGTTTAGGGTTTAGGGTTTAGCGTTTAGGGTTTAGGGTTTAGGGTTTAGGGTTTAGGGTTTAGGGTTTAGGGTTTAGGGTTTAGGGTTTAGGCTGCTGCTTCAGCCAATCTCCAGATTTCAGGCTGGCGATGAGTTTTGTCCCGGTCAGGCGAATGTCGCTTGACGTAGTGGCGCAGTTTTGCTTGTGGATGAGCCCCCATGGGCTCCGGAAATCCTCAAAGAGGGACGCGGAGGCGCCTTCGTCGTGAGCTCTGTTGCATCGTTCTCAACGGAAAAATGTTCCTTTTCTGGCTGGAAAGCTGATGCACTAGGAGCTTTCACAACCGTGACAGACCCCCTACTTGGAGGTTCATGGGGGAGCAGGAATCGCGCAAGGAATGCTTGACATCTGCGATCATTCCTTAAATGGGGACCACAAGTGACCAAAGGTTTGGCAGATAAGGCCAACCCTAAACCCTAAACCGTAAACCCTAAACCGTAAGCCCTAAACCCTAAACCCTAAACCTTAAACCCTAAACCCCTATACCCTAAACCCTAAACAAAAAAGGAAACCAAACCACGTGGTTTGCTCTGCTGCCGCTGTGAGCTCTTCTGGGTGCATGAAGCCCTCACCGATGGCGCTGGCAGCTGACGCCCCAAGCACTTCCTCCAACACAGAGGACAGCTTTGAGGCCAGCGGTTTAGGGTTTAGGGTTTAGGGTTTAGGGTTTAGGGTTTAGGGTTTAGGGTTTAGGGTTTAGGGGGGGGGGGGGGGGGGGGTTCAAGGGGGGCATGTAACCCAAGGTTGCCTAATGCTCCCTGGTACTCCCAAAGGCTCCCTAAGCTTCCCTAAGGTTCCCTAGGTACCTACCCCCCCAAGAACCCCCCTCCCTTAAGAACCCTAGAATGGGCAGGTGGTGACAGCGTTAGTATTTTGGTTATTACTCTTCTTAGTGTTGTTACATTTCTGGTTATTTGTACAATTGTTATGATTCGTGTTGTTGTTTTGTTGTTATCAACATTATCATCTGTTTGTGTTACGATTTCGTGTGCAACGCAAGAGGTCGGTCGTACCTGGCCCTGCCGCAGGCTGTCTTGACGAAAGAGCTGGGACAGTTGCACTCACGTCTGCTGAGTGCCTACGCCTCTTGGTGAATGGGGGTCGGCATGCAGATCACGCGTGTTGTCATGTCCCACATGCGGGCTCATCGCGGATAGTTTGTTTTTCCTTATCTCTGTCTCTCTTTCTCTGCCTTTCTGCCCGTCTGATGAACATCTCTGATAGAATTGCAGTGGGATCTGATCCCGTGAAGAAGCCGCAGGGCATTGTTGTCAACCCCTAAACCCTAAACCCTAAACCCCAAACAGCATGTCACAGCACCTTCTGAGGAGTCTGCGAAGCTTGTCCCAGACCGCACGACAGAGAGGCAGAGCCAGGGCAGTGAGATCGAGCAGTATCTTGGCCAAGTTGAAAAGCGAGGTTCCCTAAACCTTGAATCTTGGGATGTTCCCCCTTATACTGACAGTCCTCCTCTGAGAATCCCCCTTAAGGACTGTTAGTATAAGGGGGAACATCCCAGGTTGAATCCTAGATAGCCGATCAGGCAGGCAGGTGGCAAGAAAGAAACAGTTGATCGACGACCCTACTGTGGCATGGGCTTTCTTGTTAGTTCTGACACTGAGAGCAAATAAACAGCAGCTGAAACCTTGCCTGGCGTATTAGTGACAACAAGAGTCTTTTGCAAATCAACAATGTTCAAAACTAGTTGTTCGCAGAACCAACAAGTACGTGAGACTGAACATAATTGACGTCATCAATAGTCGTCTAGATAGTCATGGTCGTAATTAATCTTAGCGATAATGCTGCCCATGGTGCTGGCGATAGTAGTAGCAATTTTGTAATGACAAGTGTGCTAGGGAAAATGGTGACGAGAAAAGCAGCAGGAGCTCCATGAAAAAACAAACACAAACATTACGTAAGCCTTACATAGAACAACGTCAGCACCAACCGTTAAACGAGTAGCGACAATCGCACTCAGAGCTTTAATGCTAACTTCGGAGCTGAGTGAGTACACCTTACACTTTTTTTGGGATACTTTACCTGAAAATGTACAGTTTTTTTGGGGGGGCTTAGGAACTCAGCAACTAAGATAAATATCATAAACCGTCAAACCCTAAAACCCTTAACTAGACAACACAAATTGAACCCCCCGGTGCCATGTAAGGACCTTCTGTCAGCTCCGCGCGCTCGCGACACCTCTCAGCCAGGAGTGGCAGAAGCAGAAAGCCAGAGCGGCATGCACGAGTCGAAGATTCAGTAGGGTTTAGGGTTTAGGGTTTAGGGTTTAGGGTTTAGGGTTTAGGGTTTAGGGTTTAGGGTTTAGGGTTTAGGCTTTTGAGACTGTGCCTTTTGATTGGCTTGCTAGAGTCTGGGAGTCCAGTCAGTAAAGCTTGGGCAGTTTCTGGCAACACTCACAGGAGTCCGGATGCAAAAAGGGTTTAGGCTTTAGGGCTTAGGGCTTAGGGTTTAGGGTTTAGGGTTTAGGGTTTAGGGTTTAGGCTTTAGGCTTTAGGGTTTAGGGTTTAGGGTTTAGGGTTGAAGTGTTACCGGGCTGCTGCATCACGAGGCCTGTTGCAAAAAAGGGTTGGAGGGTTATCGCTTCAACAGCCACGTGCAGGACAAACTTGTTTCTGAGCCGGCTCGACTTTTGTTCGGCATATCGCGAGGAGTTCATAGTTGGTGGCCGGGAGCGGGGTCGTTTCGCCTTGTTGCTGGCGTGATGTGGATGCAGCTTTGCAGATGGCAGAGGTCACATTAAACTTTCCGCAAAGCAATCCTCGCCCTAAACCCTAAACCCTAAACCCTAAACCCTAAACCCCCAAACCCCTAAACCCTAAACCCCTAAACCCTTCCTCATTCCTGCCTGCGTTTGGCAGGATGCCCTGCCCGCGCCTGCCTTGCCCCCACCCCTCTTGGGGGACCTTGCAGAGCCTGGGCTGCCATGGAAAGCTTCCAACTCATCGCTGTCCTTTGGGGTTTAGGGTTTAGGGTTTAGGGTTTAGGGTTTAGGGTTTAGGGCTTAGGTTTGAGGGTTGAGGGTATTTTTGTGCTGGTACCATCAGTCTTCTATGACTGGCTACAAACCGTATTTGGGATGCCTCTAACCCCATGTGCAATCGGACATGAATTCTTCAAGCATGAAGAGCCACGGTTTAGGGTTTAGGGTTTAGGGTTTAGGGTTTAGGGTTTAGGGTTTAGGGTTTAGGGTTTAGGCTTTTGAGACTGTGCCTTTTGATTGGCTTGCTAGAGTCTGGGAGTCCAGTCAGTAAAGCTTGGGTTTAGGGTTTAGGGTTTAGGGTTTAGGGTTTAGGGTTTAGGGTTTAGGGTTTAGGGTTTAAGAGTCTATGCGCAGTTTGTTTTCTTAGTAGCTGAATGCTTTACACTTTTTGGGATACTATCATCCCCTATAGACCTGAATGTATACACTTTTTTTTGAGGGCTTAGGAACTCAGGAACTAAGTTTTTGCCATGGCCTCATACCTCTACATATACATGATCTATGCATGCCTGCGCACCAGGATATGCCTGTCATTTTCTTTAGGGTTTAGGGTTTAGGGTTTAGGGTTTAGGGTTTAGGGTTTAGGGTTTAGGGTTTAGGGTTTAGGGTTTAGGGTTTACCCCTGAGCCTTCAAGCAAGGATGGGAGACGGTCGAGCCATCAGCTAGTCCCCAGAGCTGCACGGGGAGGCAGTCGTCGAAAATGAGGTGCTCGACGGGTTTAGGGTTTAGGGTTTAGGGTTTAGGGTTTAGGGTTTAGGGTTTAGGGTTTAGGGTTTAGGGTTTAGGGTCCCCCCCCCAAAGTGGGCCCCAAAGAGCCGAAAGTCTGCAATTTTCGGGTGTGGGGGGCACGGGCTTCACAAGTTTTTTTTTTTTTTTTTTTTGGGGGGGGGGGGGGGGGGGGGGGTAGGGTACTTTCGGGCTCCTTCGAAGGTTTTCCGCGGGAATGACCTGCAACAATGTAGGTTTCGGGCCGGCTTCTATGTCTGGTTGGTGGCTGACTTTGACTTGAATTTGATGACTGTGTTGCGTGTGGGTGCTTCTGGACAATAGGTGTGCCCGTAGTTGAATCCCCTTCTTGGAACCCCCCCAACAAAAAAACTCAGCAAAGCGGACCCTTAGCTTTAGTAAACCCGCACAATATACAATGCATCAATGCGGGAAAGACAGTGGACAAATCTGCATGGCAGCCCAAGCCCTGACCTCCTAAACTCCCAAACTCCCAAACTCCCAAACTCCTAAACCCCTAAACTCCTAATCTCCTAAACTCCTAATCTCCTAATCTCCTAAACTCCTAAACGCCTAAACTCCTACACTCCTAAACTCCTAAGCCCTAAACCCAGGGTGTCATGGCGGCAGGGTGACTCCACCCTTTGGGACGTGCCTTGGACAGAGCAATCTTGGTTCAGGGTTCCAGGGTCTGGGGCTCACAGCCCTGAACCCTAAACCCTAGCCCTAAACCCTAAACCCTAGCCCTAAACCCTAAACTCCAAGCGAGTCTTCCTGAAGGCTTCTTGAAATGCTGCAGTTCCTTCTGAGGCCTACTCGAAACAAGGCGGGCGAGGGGGTGCGAGACGTGCACGCAGAGAGCCCAAGTCCCGGATGAGGGAACACAAACCTGGGGGCTTAGGGTTTAGGGTTCCAAAGACTCAGCAACTGCATGAATACACATTAATATATATATATACACATATAAGAATATAGTGTTATTTTATATGATATGATATTAGATGATATTATATGTTGTTTGATTATATATATATATATATATATATATATATATTATACATTATATATTATATATTCTATGTTATATGTTATATGTTATATGTTATATATTATATATTATATATTATATATTATATATTATATATTATATATTATATATTATATACTTATATTATATATTATATTTTGAATTCTATATTATATAATATATATTATATATTATATACTATATACTATATACTATATACTATATACTATATACTAGAATATATATATATATATATATATTATAGTATATATGGTAGCCCCCACCCCCACCCCCACCCCACCCAGAACCCACCCTCAAAGACATAAAGCTCGATATTTGGTTGTTTGAGCATGAGAGACTATTAATTAACACTTGGCCCGCCTTAATTAATTAACATGCCTGGAACCAAGAACCAAGAACCAAGATTCTAGAAAAGTCTTGGGACGAATCTTGGTTCCTTGGGGATGGGGGGCGTGTTAGTTAAAACGGGCCCCGTTTTAATTAGAACGCCTGGAACCAAGAACCAAGAACCAAGATTCCCAGACAAGTCTTGGGACGAATCTTGGTTCCCAGGGGGTGGGGGCGTGTTAATTTAAACGGGCCCCGTTTTAACTAGAACGCCTGGAACCAAGAACCAAGAACCAAGATTCCCAGAAAAATCTTGGAGGAACCAAGATTCGTCCCAAGACTTTTCTGAGAATCTTGGTTCTTGGTTCTTGGTTCCAGGTGTTTTAATTGAAATGGGACCCGTTTTAATTAACACGCCCCCATCCCCAAGGAACCAAGATTCGTCCCAAGAGCGTGTTAATTAACATGGGGCCCGTGTTACTTAACACGGTGCCCAGACCATGGGCACCAAGAATCCCCGAGTTGGATTGCTCCACAAAACCGGAAGAAATTCATCGCCATGAGTTCTTGGGGGTGGGGGGGCAAGCTTGAGTCATTTCATTCAGTCTGATTCAGGGCAGCTGTCTTGGTTTTCTGTTGGCTATATAGCAAAGTAATAAGTTCATATTTCGAACTATAGCTATATAAGCCCTACATAAATAATTATGAGCACAAAAACTCTTATACGCATATTTGGAAATTTCCCGTTTTAAGTAAAGCCGGGTCCGCGAACCAAGAACCAAGAAGAACCCTGGACCTCAAAATTCAAACCCGAAACCCTACCCCTAAACCCTAAGCCCTAAACCACTTAGGCTTTGGGAACAAAGGTTTAGATAGGGCTGAAACATTAAGGAGACACCCCGCAGGCACCGAAGCATAATTATTCCTGAACAAAATCATTGAAACAATAGGGTCCTAGTGTAAGGTTTTGGACAAGGCTTCAGCCTGAATGCTTAACAAATAGGGTTCACAGGAGAGGAGTTAGGCCTATACATGAAGGATACGCCCCGCAGATACCGCAGCAGGATTATTCCTAAACAATATACGTTGAAAGTATGGGAATAGGGTCTGGGCTTTAGAAAAAGTTCTTTGGGGAAAAGGGTCTGGGCTTTAGCGAATTGCCTTCAGTGGCGAGGGAAACGTTCTACAGGAATAGGAAGACTGAGTATTCCTAAACAATTGCCGTTGAAAGTATGGGAACAGGGTCTGGGCTTTAGTAAAAATTTGTTTAGGGATTAGGGTCTGGGCTTTATTTTGTAGTGACGCGGGGAAGCATAGAGTTTTGGACTAGGCTTCAGCCTGCACCTTCAAGAGATAGGCTGCCTGACCACCAATACTCGTTGAGAGTATGGGAATAAGGGTTCGGGCTTTATAGCTGAGGGACAAGGGTCGGTGCTTTAGCGAAATGCCTTCAGTGGCGAGGGAAACGCAAGGTTATGGACTAGATTTCAGCCGAAATCTTCAATAAGTCTTAGGTTTTCAGGAATAGGAAGCACGAATATTCCTAAACAATTTTCGTTGAAAGTACGGGAATAGGGTCTTGGCTTTAGTAAAATGTCTTTAGGGAATAGGGCCAGGGCATTTGTGAAATGCCTTTAGTGACGAGGGAAAACGAAAGATTCTGGACTAGGTGCCAGCCTAAGCCTTGAAGAAATAGGCTATGCTACTCCTAAACAATATTCGCTGAATATGTGGGAATAGAGTCTGGGCTTTGGCGGATATCTAGTAGCAAGGGAAAATCTAAAGTTTTGGAACAAGCTGTGAGCCTAAACCGTCAAAGAATGGTTAAGTGAAATCTCTCTAGGTTTTTGCCTAAACCTTTAGGGTCTGTATTTAAACCTCAAACGAATTCACATAGGGAAACTCTTTAATGTTTAGTGGAACTCTTGAAGGTTTCAGCCAAGGGCTTGTTTATCAGCTACTGGAACAACTTTGCGTACAAACGCTTAACTTGGTGTTCAAGTTATTTAGGATGCAAGCTTGGTGAATTTCTGCTGCGTGCGACCCGGAGGGGAGGGTCCAAAATCCACTTCCTCACACTGCCCTTACCCATTGGTGAAAGGGGTGGCCCGCCAGATATGGCACTTGTTGTATCGCAGCCTTCAGAAACACCCCGCCCCCTTACACGGTGCTTACGGTGGGTTCTGAGGGGGGGGGGGGAGCATTTTTCTACATACAATATAGTATGATATTATATTATATTATAGTATATGATATTATATTATATTATATGGTATTAAACTATATTTTTTGTATTTTATTATATTATAAACATATATATATATATATGCATCGGGGGATGGACTCTTGGAGAGGCTCCATCGACTTCAACGGCATCCTCCAGGAGAACGAGGAGTCCAACCCAAACTTGCACGAGGCCAGGTTTAGGGTTTAGGGTTTAGGGTTTAGGGTTTAGGGTTTAGGGTTTAGGGTTTAGGGTTTAGGGTTTGCTGTGGTAGAGCGTAGATGCTGTGAAGGTTAGGTTTCGGAACAAGCTCGACAGCTTCGTGAGGTGCGTAGAGCAGTTTTGGCCCGATTGTGGAGGGCCATCTAACACTTTTCTCCCACCCCGCGCCGTCCGAGGCGGCAAAGCCACCCAAACCTATCCCTTTTAGGGTTTAGGCCTAAACTCAAGCAAACTGCTTACTGGCCACCCCCCAACTGCAGGGGGGTTTAGGGTTTTGGGTTTAGGGTTTAGGGTTTAGGGTTTACGGTTTAGGAGCCCTAAGGGTCCATGTACGTCATTGTTATATACTTGGGCCCCAACGTCCCTATGGGAGGTAGTTACAGCCCAAGTATTCCTTATTTGGGTACATGGACCCTTAGGGAAACCCTTACAACCCTAAAAACCACTAAACTCTAAACCGCTGGATGATGCAACGTGGGCTTTCGTTCAGCTAGGCGGGATGCAAAAAAGACCTACCCCTAAACCCAAGACCCTTTTGCCATAAATCCTAAACCCTCGGGTTTTAGGGTCAGCTCGGAGGGCGCCTGCGGCACAGAGACCGGATGCAAAAGGTTTTTGTTTTGCGAAACAGCGCGGGAGCCAGGGTCTTGGAAGACTGTTGCAAAAAGGTGGGGAGTGAGAACCGTGTGCAGGAGACGCCCTTCAGGCTTTAGGGTTCAGGGTTCATTCAGGCTTTATGGGTTCAGGAGTTCAGGCCTTAGGGTTTAGGGCTTAGGGTTTACGGTTAGGGTTTAGGGCCTTCAGGTCATCATCAAGACAAGCCATGGCTGCACCGCCTGTCTCGGACGTTGTGTGCTGCATCCGTATGGGTGGCCCAAGCTCTTTGGCTGTTTGCTTGATACTGAATAGATGTACATACACACATACTATTATATATATATACATACATATATGTATATATATATAATAATTATTTATATAATCAGGGCGCACCTGGACCCCTACGCCCCGTGGTGCCCCCTCCTCCCCGCCCCCCCCCCCAGCCAGTGGTGTGGTTGCGGGGTCGGGGAAAGGGTTTAAGGTTTTATGGAAAAAGACATCTATAGCGTTTAGGGTTTACAGTCCCCCGCCCCCCCCAACCTGTGATGCGGTTGGGGGGTTGGGTTAGGATTTAAGGTACAGGGTTTGGGGGAGGATACCATGGGTGGGGAGGGGGGGGGGAACTGCTAGCCGCAAACCGCAATCAAAAGAGCAATATGTATGCTGTGTATGTAAGTTTACACGTTTTATCGGTATTCGTGTTAATTTGCACTTAGTTCATTTTGTGTTTTCACATTCATTTTTGCATGGTATGTTTTCATCCTTCGATTTCATCTCTTTTGCATTTACAATTAGTTGCGTTTGCATGTGTAGTGTAGTTGTATTTCTACGCATAGCCATTATCTATACCTGTGCCCAGATCTACTCATCTCTATCTATGTCGGTGCTGCATGAGCGGTTGTATTCACGTTGGATTGATTTGTTGGCAAAACCGCTTCGGCGGCGAATCCTAACCAAGCCAGTCGAGCTTAGAAGCCTGCCAGCTGGAAGCTCAGCGGCCTGTTGAGGGCTAAACCCTAAACCCTAAACCCTAAACCCCAGGCTAAGTGTGGCCAAAAACACTTAGGCTAAGAACTCTTCCAAGGTTCTTCTGGAGCTTCATCCTGCTCTTGGCAGTCCTCTGGGATGCGATTACCATCCCGCTGCAGCTCTTTGACCTCGGCTCCTTCTCAGCTACTTGGGTTTAGGGTTTAGGGTTTAGGGTTTAGGGTTTAGGGTTTAGGGTTTAGGGTTTACGGTTTTGGGTTTAGGGTAGCTGAGTGCGTACACTTTTTACACTTTTTGGGATACGATCATCCCCTGTAAAACTGAACGCGCGCACTTTTTTGGAGGCTTATGAACTCAGCAACTAAGACGACGCTGGACAGCATCAACACGGCGACGATCATCTTCTGGCAGATCTGCTTGCGATTGGTTTAGGGTGTAGGGTTTAGGGTTTAGGGTTTACACTCTTCCTCAAAGCTGTTGCTCCAAAAAGCTGAAAAGATCATGCACATGAGCCCTGCGTCATTTTCAGAACCTCAATCATCGGGATGTTCATGGCCCCAGGGCCCGAAGCCGTGCCCTCAACCCTAAACCTGACACCCCAAACCTAACCTGACACCTAAACCCTAAACCCCTGAGGTTAACAGACATCCCTGTCAGCTGCTTCACGGCCGTGGATCGCGACGGAGTCCTGGACTTCCGCCCTCGCTCATGTGTTCATGACTACATCAGGCCTGCAAAGCCACATGCTTCAAAAGGGACACCGAATTGTTAGGGTGTAGGGCTTAGGGTTTAGGGTTCAAAGCCGCATGCTTCAAAAGGAACACCTAATTGTTAGGGTGTTCGGTGTAGGGTTCAAAGCCGCAGGCTTCAAAAGGGACACCTAGTTGTTTGGGTGTAGGGTTTAGGGTTTGGTTTAGGGCCGAGATTTAAGCATCGAGCTCACGCATGTGGAATGAGCAAGAAGGCCCAGGATGATTACATGGTTCCGAGTTGTGCAGAAGCTTGCCGAACGTACCGGTCGGTCTGCCCACGTGCTGTTCTCAGAGCCCACTGCCCCGTAACCCCTTTGCCCTAAACCCTAAACGCTCCTTAGAAAAGAGCAAGGCGTAGCAACCCGAAGCCCTGAAACCTAAAGCCATCTTGGGTGTTCATGGGCACTCTAACCCCAATTATAAGTCAATTGTGTTAAGCGTTTAGGGGTTTTAAAGATCCGAGCATCTGTTTAATCGGCGGGGGGGCAATAAGAAAGGCAGGGCGCCGCAACAATAAGACCATGGCAATGTATTGATTCTCTATTAAAAACAATAGGCTGCAGATTCCTGAGGTGCTGTAGCTTTGATCAAAACTGCAGCTCAGCAAGCAACATATACATGTATCTTTATTTACTTGTTGATTGTTTATTTAATTTAATTTAATTTGTGATATATTATAATGTCAAAAACACACACACGCACACTAATATATATATATATATATATAAATATATTATATATATTTATATAAATATATAATATATATTTATGTATATATATATATATATATATTTATTTATGTATATATATATATACATATTACTGTCATGGCCTGTTTGGGTTTGGGGTTGAAGTCTTTTGAGGCAGGCCTGATGTCCCAGGGGATTCAAAACTGCAGAGCCAGACTACGGCCTCAGGGTTTAGGGTTTAGGGTTTAGGGTTTAGGGTTTAGGGTTTAGGGTTACCCTGAGGGAAAAGAAGCGCCGACAGATTTTTGAGCCCACTCGAAAACATGTTCTTTAAATGTGGTGGTATTGGCCCATACGAAAGCACACGTAATGAAAAGTAGTCTTCCAGGGGGGGCTTCTGGACGAAAAGCTATTCTTCAAATGTGAGCGTGCTAATTAAACAGATGCTCGGATTACTTATAACCTACTTAGAGGACTTAGGGGGCCTAGAAGTACAGTTCGAATTGGGGCTATAAGTACCCCTCTAAGCCCTAAACCCTAAACCCTACTTGGGGGTATAAAGTACCCATGAACCTCCAATCTATCCTGGCCTGCAGGGGCTGGTGTCTGCCAGACGTGCTCATGGTCTTGGGAGCCTTGTCTCGAAAGACTTAGCAGCTTAAGGTAGGGTTTAGGGGTTGAGGGGTTGAGGGGATGAGGGGTTGAGGGGTTTAGGGGTTTAGGGGTTTAGGGTTTAGTGTCTCAGTGTCTTAGTTGGCGTTTCCCGGCAGTGTTCGAAGAGGCCTGGATGCAACAAGGGTTTAGTGTCTAGCTTGCCAGGGGGTTTGGGTTCGGGGTAGGCAGTTCGTTTCCTCTTATGAGGGAATCTCTGAGTGAGTCACAGAGTCGAGACGAGTGGTGGCTCGAAGTTGCTTGGATCTGGCTAGTCCTCCAGCCCAGTTGCTAAAAAGGCTAGGCGGGTCCACAGTAAACCCTAACATCCGAAACCTCTATCCGAAACCCTTTGGACACCCTAAGGCGTCAGTTCATCTAGGCGGGAGGCAAATTTGACAAAAAACGCAATCCCCATAACAGGGTGTAGCCTACCCCGAAACCCTAACTGTAGGGTGAGGGCAAGCCAGAAACCTAAACCCTAAACCCTAAACCCTAAACCCTAAACCCTAAACCCTAAACCCTAAACCCTAAACCCTAAACCCTAAACCCTAAACCCTAAACCCTAAACCCTAAACCCTAAACCTCCACCCCTCGTACCCCAAACCAAGGAGACTTGGTTGTATCGACCGCTGCTTGGCTCGACTTCAGGGTCCCTTTTGCATCAAAGGGCTAAACCGTAAAATAGAAATATCCCATGGGTTTAGGGTTTAGGGTTTAGGGTTTAGGGTTTAGGGTTTAGGGTTCAGGGTTTAGGGTTTAGGGTTTTGGGGGGGGTGCAGGGGGACTGGAGGGGCCGGGGTCTTTCTGTCACGAGTACAGGAGGCGTGGAGGGCTGGCATAGCTCACGGGGGGGGGGGGTGTTCTCGAGGCGGGCGAAGACTCTTGGCAAGGAAAAACCTCCCTAAATCCTAAACCCTAAACCCCTAAAGGGTTTAGAGCCTCGAGTTTCGGGAGCTCGGGGCTAAGGCAAAAAGGGCTCAGGGGGCTTTTGCTCTCACCAGGGTCTTCCGTCATGTCCTTGCGACATTGCTGGGTTTAGGGTTTAGGTTTTAGGGTTTAGGGTTTAGGGATAAGGGTTTACGGTTTACGGTTTAGGGTTCAGGGTTCAGGGTTTAGGTTTATATAGGGTGTAGGGTAGAGAGTCAGGAAAGCAACGAAGGGAAGATACCTCACGCACATGCTTTCAGGTCTATTCCCTGATTAAGGGGCCCTGAAAAAATGCCCCTGAACTCTAAACCCCCCACCTGCCTAGCCCTAAACCCTAAACCCCTGAACAGCCATGCCTGCGTGCACAGGTAGGCTCCAACCAGAGTCTTGCTGCTACAGCCGGAACTCAGCTTCTTGGTCAAAGATGAGTAAACCCAAAACCCTAAACCTGGCTCCCAGTGTGTCCATGTTAAGGTTTGGGGTTTATGGTTTAGGGTTTAGGGTATTAGGGCTTAGGGCTTAGGGTTTAGGGTTTAGGGTTTAGGGTTTAGGGTTTAGGGTTTAGGGTTTAGGGTTTAGGGCTTACAGTTTAGGGTTTAGGATTGACCTGCCGCACAAGGGGTCTCCGCGTCTCGCGGCTGATTCGGCTCTCTCGCTTGGTGCGTCTGGTCAGGCTCTACAAGGCATCGGCCCCTCTGGCCGCAACAAATAGATGAGGGCCGGCAGGGGCCCAAATACTCCTCAGTTTAGGGTTTGGGGTTCGGGGTTTAGGGTTTAGGAATGTAGGGTTAGACCCCACCCAAGCCTGGATGCAAAAACAAAAACCCCAAACCCTTAAACCCGAAACCCTTTTTGTGTACGGTATCTTGGTCTTGGACGCCCTGTTGTTGGGGAGTCGCCCCTTAGGCGACGGTGGAGTCTTTGGTTGATTACGTTCGCTCCCCGCTGATCGTGGTGCTGAAGCCCGGCCGCAACAGCATTTATGGTTCAGGGGACGACGCTGCAAGCCTGCCGCAACCCTAAACCCCAAACCCTAAACCCCTAACTATGGTTCGAAGACGGTGCCGTTCAACATGCACGTGGGTCGCGCTGCAAGATGCAGCGGTCGTGGTAGGGCTTAGGGCTTTCCGATTCCCAGCATTGACAATGTTTAGGGTTTAGGGTTTACACTTTGCAAGGGATTCAAGAGGTAGCACGGCAGTCAGGAGGGTGGCTGGCGAGCTGGCGGGGTGGTGTCCTGCCTCACCTCGCATAGCATCAGAGTTCTCATCCTTGGTTCCTCTTCTCTAAACTCATCAGCGGGCACCTGCTAGGCAGGTGGGCCAAAAAAGATCTCGTCCGTGAGGGCTTCCACTCAGGATTGGCCTGACCAAGCTGATTCTGTTTATCCTCTTCGTGGCTGAGCCGCACCCCAGGGGGTAAAGCACCCCGCTTGCTTGCGAAAGACCGGATGTGGCCCTCAACTCTATAACCTAAACGGAGTTTTTTTTGTAAAACGATAGTAGCAGTACTACTGAACAAGAACCACAATACGCAAAACAGTCGAAAAGTAATACTAAGAACAGATCTATAAATTTGAAAAGCCAGATGTCAAAACATTGTGCGTGACGGCCATTGTAAAAGAGACCTGCGCCTCGCACTTGAGGTGAACCACTACATCGCATGTGTCTCTTGGCTTCTTCCAGGGTTTAGGGTTTAGGGTTTACGGCTCAGGCCTGTCCACACAACCACATGCCGTTGTCTTGCAATGGTTTGCCTGCGTTGGTCGGTGGCCCGATGTTGCCGACGTCGTCCATGATGAAGCCTTGCATGAACCATAGCCCGACACCCGACACCCCCCAAGCTCAGGGAGTAGCTTCACCCGGATCCTGCCTCTCGGGGCCTCGGATCCTAAGGCCTGGTGTGCAATGGCCTACTTCAGCGACCTTCCTGAAATCCTTAGTAGTAGTAGAGTAGCTAACCTTTAACCTTTTTGGGTTAATATATTCCCCTTATATTCCCAAAGGTTAACCTTTAAAACCCCTAGGTACTGGACAACTAAGAATCAGTAGTTGGGCTTCCCGTGCGACACGCCCGACATGATGGCATAAGAGCGTGTAGGGTTTGGGGGCTCCTCTGCCGCTTTTGCGATCCGGCCCGCTGCAGTCCTAGCTCATCTGCCTTTTGAGGGTTTAGGGTTTAGGGTTTAGGGTTTAGGGTTTAGGGTTTAGGGTTTAGGGTCTAGGGTTTAGGGTTTAGGGTTTCGGGTCGGGCTGAAGCATGAGCAAGGTGAAGGCACCCCTACCTGGGCAGATGGCCACATGAAAGCGCCAGACGATTTCCGTGAGCTTTATGCCCCTTGGTTCGCTGGTTCGTCGTTAAACCCTAAACCCTAAACCCTAAACCGATGCATGTGTTGCCAGCGTTGCCAGTGACTCTCAGTTGTGAATCGCATTGTGAGGCACGCATGCAGGCATGAGTTAAACCTTGAAACAGGCCTTGTCGCTGCACTGGAGCCTGACGCAGTTCACACCATCCACACAGGAGTTCAGACGCGCAGCCTCCTTTTTTTCTGGGTTGCTGTTGCGATGTTCCCCCGTGCACTAACAGTCCTTCATACCCAACGGCATAACGGTCAAGGCGGGTTTATGGGTTCGGGACAGTCTTTAGAAGCTCCGTGTCGTTTAGCATTTTCGGGGCAGAAAAAGATCATCCTAATTGTCCACTTCCCGAACATCCAACCCGGAAAACTCTTCGTCCAACTCGATGGCTGCTTTTGGAGGACATTGGGCCGTCCAACATACGCGAGCGCATCTTCGCTGCAGGCGTGGTGATTTTTGCCCTCATTGTGCCTCGGCATTGGGCCAGCAGGGTGCTAACGCACTGGGCAGCACAATGCATTGGCACCCAACGTGCACCCTGAAAGTCGATCACTCCATTAAGGTGTTTTCATCCTTCGTGAGCAGCATCACCAATCAGATGAACCAGATCCGCACTTGGAACGCCAAGAGCATCGAGCTGGACGCGTTGCTGCGGCACTTCCTGAAGTCGCGAAAGATCTCGACGCAGCTTGGAGTTCGCATCACCAACTTCTTCAAGACTCTTGCCAAGCATTTGACAACCCCGACCTCCCTGTGTTCGCGCTTTTGGGCGCGCACGTGGGATGTAGTGGCTTCCAGCACGGAGTCGTCCAGCCCATCAGTCTGCACTTCTCTCCTCCCTCTCCCCCTCCACTCTCTCCCTACCTCTTCAAATTAATCATGCCTTTGCGTGTCTTTCCCACTCCTTCTCACCTTCATCTAGTTGGTGACCTCCCCAGATCACCAAATCCACTCAGGGTCAGTCAGAAGCAGAAGGCCGAGACTCCTTTGGAAAGTATCTCGTTCTTGGCAAGTCTACCCGTCTCTCGACTGAATTTCAGTGGCTTTTGGTACTGCGCAAGACAAGTCCAGCCCCCAACAATTCTTGTTGCGGCCCCGCGTTGCCGCTGCAGGAGAGTTTGAAAATTCATCTCTACAGCGAGATCTTCTTGCCTGCTTTCAAGACCTCTGGACTGTTTAGCGGCTCGGGCTGGATGCGGACGTTCCGCGTCTGTGGATAGGTCAACCAGCATAGAGCAGAGAGTGTGGTTTGAGCCCCTAAACCCTAAACCCTAGACCCCAAACCCTAAACCCTAAACACTAAACCCTAAACCCTAAACCCTAAACCCTAAACCCTGTAGCGATGCAAGTCAGGAGTCAAGTGAGTGTCTATCTGCAGCTCCTATGAGCACCCTGCTTTGAGGGGCATATCCTGTGCACCCCGAGTCTGGGGAGCTCCCACCCCTGAGGCCGCGTCATGAGAGTCGACTACCGCCTGCTCTCGAAGACGTGCAGCCGAGCATTCAAGGCAGCTCGCCCTCTTGCATAGCCCTGTCTTTGGCTTGCAAACGTCGTCCTTGCCATGCTTGCCCACCTGAAAGGAACAGTACTGCCCACCAGAGATCGACATCTTTATCGAAGGGGCGACTGCAGCAGGCGGCACCGAAAGACCGCTGTGTTGCTGCCGGCGGGTCTCCCTCCCTGCATCTGCATTCTGGAGAGAAAGCATGAGACAAAGCATGAGCCAAGTAAGGTTAGGGTTTAGGGTTTAGGGTTTAGGGTTTAGGGTTTAGGGTTTAGGGTTTAGGGTTTAGGGGTTAGGGGTTTAGGGTTTAGGGAAGCCTTCCTGGATTTTTGGCAGGCGTCCTCATCGTCCACCGCGGTGACATGACGTATCAGCTCCTTGGCTTGCCCGGTGTTGCAAGATGCTCTTGACATTCGATGGTACTCACGGGCAAATATATATATATATATATGTATATATATATATATGTATATATATATATATTGTCCTTCAGTACTCTCTCTCTCTATATATATGTTACTCATACTTATATGGACTATTATTGGTGTCGCACCACGCGTGTACTAGGGGCTCTGCACAAAGCCTAAGGCCTCGAGCAGTGTCGCGCTTCACACACCTGAGCTCTGCATGGGGCTCAGCATCCCACGCATGCGCCACGCTGATCAATGCAAAGCAATCCGCTCGAGTTTAGGGTCTAGAGGGTAGAGGGTTTAGGGTTTAGGGTTTAGGGTTTAGGGTTTAGGGCAGTTTAGGGTTTAGGGTTTAGGATTTCAGTGTGGTGCCGAAACTGGGCTGCTGTGTACCGAGGCCCGCTATAAACTAAGGGCGTTAGGGTGGTCAGCGGGCAGCCAAGGTGAAGCCCGTGCGGCTGCGAAAGGGCTTATGGATCTCGGAAGCCTCCCTGTGGTGCGTCTCTTTGCCATAACCGAGTAACATTTTACATGTTTAAGGGTACTTAATGTCAGTAAGGAACAGAAATTTGAATTTTTAGTACGATCCCCACCATGAACTAGGTCTGGTCCTATGCTGGCAGCCTGCACGCAGACACGGAGCCTGGGCTTAACCCGCTGCGCACAGCGCAGTGCTCAAGTCTGGGCAGCACAGCCATGTGGTAGGCTTCTCTCATGCTGCGGCCCCTTTCAGAAGGGGGCGTGGATTTAGAGAATGAGCCATATACGCCGGCGAACGCTTTCCGGGGATGTTCCGGAGATCTTCAACAAGCCCTAAACCCTCAGACGATCTCAGACGGTTGTCGTTTTCTGCTGGTGGTTTGCCCTGCTGTCTGTCTTTCCTGTCAGCTAGAGAGATGGTCCTAAACCCTAAACCCTAAACCCTAAACCCTAAACCCTAAACCCTAAACCCTAAACCCTAAACCACACAAAAGGCCTGCGACCTGCACCTGTTGGATTCCGATGCATTTAGCAGAGTCTGCCAGTCGCTTGGCCTGTACACAAGAAATAGTGGCGACAGTAAGTAGGGTTAGGGTTCAGGGTTCAGGGTTCAGGGTTCAAGGGTTCAGGGTTCAGGGTTCAGGGTTCAGGGTTCAGGGTTCAGGGTTTAGGGTTTAGGGTTTAGGGTTTAGGGTTTAGGGTTTAGGGTTTAGGGTTTAGAGAGAGAGGGCTTTTAAGGGGTTTAGGGGGTTTGCAACGCCGTCTCGTGTTTCTCCTACAGGCAACAAGCTTCATGCTTGCCAAGGATTGACATGACACGTTACCGTTCTGATGGTTCGTATCATGTATGATTTTCGCATTGCTTGCAAATAATCTGAGACTATCTATCGAAATGAGCAACATAAACCCATCGACCGATTGAATCACGCTTCGGATGCTGCCAAGTGGATCAGGTGCATGTTCGATGAAAAGTAAAGAATACTGGTTTTGTCCACCCAACTATCTAACATTGCGCCTTCTCGCCAAAAGAATCGACCGATTTCTGTACCCTGCAAGGCGGCTGGTTAGCGAGCGGCAACTAAGATCCAAGAAAGTTCTCGTCATCGCTTAGGGTTTAGGGCTAGGGTTGGGTTTCGGGTTTAGCGCCCTAAGCCCTAACCCGAAACCCTGAAGCAAAAAGGGTTTGGGGTTTAGTGGTCTTTCAGCGCTCAACATCCCAGGAGCCACGGTGGCGCTTTGGTTGCCATCTTGCGGAAGCTGGCGGCTACCTTTTGTGCACTGGGGGGGGGGGGGGGGGGGGGGTTAGGGTGGGTTTAGGGTTTAGGTGTTTGGGGTTAGGGGCTGGGGGTTATGGTTTAGGGGTTAGGGGTTAGGGTTTAGTCCTGTAGCAAAAAGCGATTTAGGTGTTAGAGTGTTGGGTGAAACGTGGCCCGCAGTTGATTCTGCACGGCGTTGGGTCTTTGCAATGCCCAGCCGCGTTACATGTCTTACCCATGTTTCTGTGCAGACACCATATCAGATGTGATTGTTGTTGCGCTCATACAGAGAGACCTACGTTCAAAAGGCTTCTTAGTGCTGAAACCGACATCCCGGTCGGATGGAAAGTATGTCCCCTAAACCCTAAACCCTAAAACCTAAACCCTCATTGAGCAAAAAAAACCCTCGTTGAATGGGTAGTTCCGCGGCAGTTGCGTTGGCTGCGCTTTCTTGCACAACGCAGCTTCCTTGCCGTGCTCGGAGCTTGCAGGTCTGATAATTCTAATGATGGTTATATATAAATTATAGTACACACACATAAATATATACATACAAGAACAGTAGTAATAATCGTAACAATAATAAAAACAATAAGCATTATTGCTATAGTAGTAATAACAGTAGTAATAATATAGTAATCATAACAAGAAGAAGAATGACTACATATATACATGTACATAGACACATATACCAATACACACACATATATGTATATATATATATGTATACATATATGTATGCATCCGGACACTTCGTAAACAAGGATTAGTGCAAATCTCAGATCGGTTCAACAGCAGCAGCCTATCAGTAGTTACATCAGCTTCTTGGCATCAGAAGCTGCATGATGTAGAGTCTTCATATCCTGTCAAGACTAAGAGCTGCATGTCTTACAGGACTCCGTCTTGACAGTGCATCGGGGTTTCGCGTCCGATTGTGATGCATTGAGAGACGTCGGGGGGGTGGTTGCAGTTCGCTCTCCAAGCCTCGGATGAGGTTCTCTTCATCGGCTACATGGAGGACAGCCCACTGCATCGGATAAGGGCATGCACTGTTTATTCGGCAAAGGCTGACTCCCAGGCTGCTGCGTGAAAGCAAGTTTCGTTGGCCGCTCTCGCTCTTTGCCAGTCGTTTCTCTTCTTTCCCTCCTTGCATGGCACCATGATGTTGTTAAGCAGCCTTCCCTGTACTTAGTTTCATTGCAGGAACGGGCCAAGCAGTTAGATCCCATCACCGATATGCGGCTTGCCTCACGTGGCGCCATTGGATCAGTACCCATGTGCTGGGAAGACGGGGATAAGCCGCAGGTCCCACATGCCTTAGGTCCAGCTATGCGGATGGCAAGAACTACTGCATTCCTTAGTTAAGAAACACACATATTCCTTTGTTACTCGTGCGTGGTATTGGGGTTTTGGGTTTAGGGTTTAGCCGGGCAGACTTAAAAGCCCATTGCAAAAGGGTTTAGGGTTTAGGGTTTAGGGTTTAGGGTTTAGGGTTTAGGGTTTAGGGTTTAGGGCGAATTCCCTCCCTTCCACTGGTGCCTGCTGGTTCCCTCCCTGGCCCTGGCGGCTGAGGCCGCTCTCTGACACCGAGTGGGAGTCACTGCTGGACCGCTCCGACAAGCTGCTGAAGCTGCAACCCTAAACCCTAAACCCTATACCCTAACAAAAAATCCCAAACCCTAAGCCCAAAGCGGCTTATTGTTCGCACCTTAAAGTTCTTAAACCCCCCACCACTAAACGTGGTGTAGGGTGGACAAAAACTAGACACTTGGATTTATTAGGAATTCGGTTGCGGTTTGCATAAGACCTGCCGAGATGTGCAGAGCTCAAGCGGCGAAACACTTCAAGTTTAGGGTTGCAAGAGAAGCCTGCACCAAGGGACTAAATAAGGTGCGTGTATATACACAGGGCTTATAGAGGGAAATGCGATGAAGGATCCCTACTAGGGGGTCCCCCTTTGTATCCCCTTACCTGTAGGGTTTACAGGGCTTGCCCTGGCCCGCAGTGACCGAGGCTTGAAAAAATGAAAACGATGATGAGCCCTGGCTGAGCATTTATGGTTTAGGGTTTTGGGTTTTGGGTTCGGGGTCATGTGCTGGATTGCTGCACCTTCTGTCACTGATGCTGCGCAGCTGCCGGCCCCCAACTCCAAACCATGCACCACCTGGGTGCTGAGGATGCAACTGGCTTTGCCCCGCCCGGACTGGAAGTAGCTGCATGTATGCTGAGATGCTTGAACAGCTGCACTTGGACACATTCACTCGCTGAAAGCGTGTTGCACAGACTATGGAAGTCCATCTTCCCATGGCGAATTCAAAAAGAGCATTTCCCCACAGGTTCGAGCTTGATGATGACTAGGGTTTAGGCAACTCACAAGTTGATACTGGCCCGAGAGGGCGGCCAGAATTAGGCTGTTCTTTCAAGCAGGGACTGGCATCCAGTCCCTAAACCCTAAACCCTAAACCCTCAACCCTCAACCCTAAACCCTAAACCCTAGCACTGTCTTACGGTTGGCATGACGTTGCTGGCCGGTTGCAATCAAGGGAGTCATTCTCGGACCCCTGAGGATGCACCCCTATGAGGTTCCCGAAATATACCCCTAATTCTGCCCCTGTATTCCCTTAGAGGATCTTAAAAAAAAACCAAACCCAAGGGTTTAGGGTTTAGGGTTTAGGGTTTAGGGTTTAGGGTTTAGGGTTTAGGGTTTAGGGTTTAGGGTTTAGGGTTTAGGGTTTAGGGTAAGGGATCAGCCTTAAATTTCCAAAGGTAGAGTCCCAGGATGCAGAGGGGTCATAGGTTTCAGGCGTGCTTGAACCACGTCCGGCGGGAGATGCCTGCAGCCTCAAGAGAGCCCCAAGACCCCCCTGGTTCAGGATTTCTACATATCCCAAAAACCCGATGTCACTGAGCCCCAAACACTAAACGCATCTAAACCCTAAACCCCACATACATGGATGCACGTGCATAGACGTTCTAAGGCTCCTACTGAACTGCTCAAGACGTTTTCTTCTCCTTCATTGCGGGGTTGTGGGGGCAGGGGGCCCTCTTGGAACGAACGTCAACCAGGCGAGGAGGAGGCTTCATCTCTCATGGGCCCCTCCAGGCACCACACCAGGAAGTCGGAGCTAGCCGAGACATCAAGCTTGAGGGCTTATCCCCTAGGGCCTGGGGTTTAGGGTTTAGGGTTTGGGGTTTAGGGTTTCGGGTTTAGGGTTTAGGGTTTAGGGTTTGCTAGAGCGGCTCAGTTTTCGAAACCGTCTAGTGCCTGATCGAACTCTGACTTCTGGAATTTGGGACGTAGGCCATGCCTCCAGGATGCAAACCCACTTTCTGCACATGCCTTGTACCCTGCATTTGTTGGGCTAAACGTTTTGTTTAAGGTTTAGGGGGTTTAGGGGGTTTAGGGTGTTTAGGGTTTAGAGTTTACAGCCAAGTGTAAGATGCGCATGTTTCATTTCAGGGCATGTGCCATCCATCTGGATCTGGCAGTTTGGGGCCTGCTCTCCCAGCAAACAAGTGCAAATGCCCACTCTGGAACAGGTGGCAGTTGCAAGAGTGACGTGCTGTGGCGCACCAGGATCTCTGCTCCTCTAAGCCCTTAAGACCCTCGAAACTGGGTTAAGCCTCCCTCCTGGCACACGGCCCCCCAGCACCTCCCTCACTCAAAATGCATGGCCAAAGACGGCAGCTCCCTCATGCTGTACAGAGAAATAGGTCGGGTTTAGGGTTTAGGTTTAGGGTTTAGGGTTTAGGGTTTAGGGTTTAGGGTTTAGGGTTTAGGGTTTAGGTTTAGGGTTTAGGGTTTAGGGTTTAGGGTTTAGGGTTTAGGGTTTAGGGTTTAGGGTTTAGGGTTTAGGGTTTAGGGTTTAGGGTTTAGGGTTCCTGCGAGGGTAAGCTCGGCTCTGCAGTCTATTTACCGCTACTACTACTACTACTACTACTACTACTACTACTACTACTACTACTACTACTACTACTACTACTACGACTACTACTACTCCTACTCCTACTACTACTACTACTACTACTACTACTACTACTACTACTACTACTACTACTACTACTACTACTACTACTACTACTACTACTACTACTACTGCGGTCATCTCTGTAGAATAATGGGTTTGGGGAGTCTTGTTATAAGGCGGCCCTGCTATTTCGGGCACCCCAAAAAGGGGCCAGAATTTGGAGAACTCACTATGTGATGGTTCCTGTCACTTTTGTTGCTCATGGTATTGCTAGTTGGTATGTTCGAGTTTCCGTATCTGCAAGCATGACAAGTGATGTCGCGAATCATTCTCCTTCCAGCCAGGTGCGTTCATTCCGCACAAGCCCGCACTCTGAAGCCGCACCCTTTTCAAACGCTGTTCCCAGCAAGGTTCCTTCGCAGCCGAAATTTGCGCTGCGAGGCATATGGATCTCAGTAAGATGCAGACAAGAAAGCATTGACAAAAGAAGCCTGTAGCTCCGACAAAGTCGTTGAGCCCTTTGACATCCCCTGCTGCCATGGCCCGTACGCCGAATCGAGCAGACCATGGCACAGGCGATGTTCAGGGACGTATCGACACGCTGAAGCGGCTAACAATGCTATCCGGCTGCAGTTGTGGCAGGGGTTGCTGCTCCTGTTGTAGTCACGTGGTTTCATGTGGCCATATGAGATTTTTTTGTTCGTCGGCCACAATCATCTGCACAGGCAATCGTGTGACAGAGCTTGTGTCACTCTGATGGCACTCGGCATTTTGACTGTAGGACTTGTCCCTGTCCTTTGTACCCAGAACAGCGCACAGACTAACACACTGCCAGACCGAGACAGACGACATACAAGCACACGAGTACACCTCAAAGATTGTTGCATTGAGCTGGTGTGTGATCATCTTGTTGAGGAGAGCACTTGCATGGGCAACTCGCGTTCTTTGTTGCTTGGGTTGTGACATCTTGCGGCAAGCAGGACTCAAACGCAACCACGCTGGCATGCACACGCATGTCCTAGCGGCCTGTGCATCTTCCAGCACGCAGCGGTAGAAGGGCGCCTTCGATGTTTCCTGTTGCACTCAATCGACGAGCATTCCAGATTCACAAAGGTGCCACAGCGACTGTGAACTGTGAACAGCTTGAAGGACGGTATGTCACAAGCGTGTCGATGCCGTAAACTTGACCGTTGTTTTCACAAACCTGGTCTTCGATAAACATAACAAAGGAGCTGTTGTTGAACCTTTCATGTACAGCGATACTACACACAGACAGAGACACAAGGAGATTTCTGGACCCCCCCCCCTTAAGCCGCCTGAAAGAAGCAAAAAAAAACACACACAAACACCACACACACACACACACACACACATGCACAGGGAACTTCTCAGTGAGATATCTCAAGCCAGCACTGAAGGTCGTCCGAGGCTGAGCGACAGCGGCTGGGCTTTCGGCAAAAGCCAGGCCCTGCGAGGCCTGCCTCCCCCTCCCTCACCCCCCTCCCCCCCATCTTGCAGAGCTATGCAGAGTTTGCTGCGGCAAGTGGTCGGGACCAGTTTGAGGATGTGTTGGGGATCTGCGCAGGGTCTCCTTGCCTCCAGATCCACTGCTGGATAAGTCCGTCCGAGATCGTGGAGGGATGATGAACCAATGAAGGAACTAGCTGCATCAGTTTGACTTGAATCTTAGACATGTGTAGTTCTCTACATTAGCGTCCTCTCTCCCCCCCGCATAGCATGATACCTAGAATATGGATTCCCCCCCCCCCCCCAAGAACGACCCTAGTTTAGAGAACTGCCCACATTGTTCTACTGTTTGCTTAAGAAGCCTAAAAGCATGAAAACCAACAATCCCTATATTACCCTTAATAAGGAAGAATACTCTTATTTTCATGGGGGTTCTTAATGTTGGATCAGGCAGGCCACGTCGGCAGGGCCGATCCCTTCGCGGCTTCCGTTGGGCTCGCTGGAGCTTCTGGACTCGGACCGAGCAGGGGCTGCAGAACCTTTGCCCGTGCCGCGGCCGAATACAGAGCCCAACATGTACTTGGAGGTTCGTGGTACTTCTGAACCAATTATAGCTGTACTTATAACTTGTAACCCACTTATAAGCCCCTTAAGTGTGAGAATGTGCTTATAAGTACCGTTAATGGCAACCGCATGCAACCACCATAATTTACATAATTGTGGGCGCGCGCAGCTTCGGCAGCCGGCCCAGTCTGCACGGTACGTGGGGCGAGGAAAGAGATGCCGGAGAAACCTTGAACCCGCGGCGTACGCGCGCTTGGGGGACGTACCCCCTTGCTTGGCAGCAAAAGCTTGCAGCGTCAGGAGGCTATGACAAACCTTCGGTGCACTTGTGCACTTGTGCACTTGTTGTCTGTGCTTGTGTGCTTGTTTCAAAGTAAGCTTGGGTAGGATTCTCGTGAGCGTGTTGCCAAGTACTTCAGTAGGGGCTTCAGGAGGGCCTCAGGGGCTTCCGGGAGCGCCCCATGCTCCCGAAGCAAACTTCAGATGGCTGTCGGCCGGAGGCGAGGGTGCACATTTCGCCACGCCAGCAGAGCAAACATCCCTTCCATGAAGCCATACCACCCAGCAAGCAGGGTACTTGTAGCCCCACTTATAAGTACCCATGAACTACATGAACCTTCAAGTAGGGTTTAGGGAATATGTCTTGATTCAGACTAATGACCATTACATGGTCCAACGTAGCTTAGAGTAGATTCCTTAGTTAATGGTTTTGGGCTCTCTTGATAGTTGCAAGGCGTGACCCCACTTTGCTGCCACATCGCAAATAAGGTTATAACCATAGTAATGTTGGACCCTCTTTAATGTGTAGGGCCCCCCCCCCCCCCGAACAGTCGAGGCGTGGATGGGATCCTGAATAAAGGGCCCCGGGGTTTTATATGATTTTAATAGGGAGGAGTTTAGATAGATTGAAAAGGGATCCATATGAATTTAAACGGGAGCCGCGCAAATCGAAAAGTGTATATGAATTTAAAAGGAATCCATAGACTTTTTCCAAATTCGGAGCCTCCGGGCCGGGGCCCGGACATTAAAGAGGGCCCCGAAACAGTCCCACTATTGAGGGTCCGAGGGAGCCCTTGGACCACCCCCTTGTCGGATGGAACGAAACCAATTTTTCAAATGGTCACTTGAAGGGAATTAATGGTTTCGGGCCGGTTGGAATTCAGGACGGCCTTTGAAATCCTAAGGCCCGGCTTTAAATTCATAAGGCCCGGCTTTAAGCCGGAGCCTCCGGGCCGAAACAAGCCCCAAATCCTAAAAAAAGTTTCGGATTTCGGGAACCGTTTGACTTTAAAGAGGACCCTGCAAACAGTCAGGGGGTCCTGAATAATTCGGCCAAGTTGACTTTAAAGGGGAGGCCCCCTACTAAACAGGGTCCAACATTACTACTTATAACCCCACTTGTAAGTACCCACGAACCTCCAAGTTTCAGGGCTCACCCACACCTTAAACCCTAAACCCTCAACCCTAAACCCCCCTAAACCCTCAACCCTGGGGTGCTGCCCTCCGCGGATTCCAGGCTCCTCACAAGTTAGCATCCGCTGCCTCGGCGAAGCTGCGTGCAGCGTTACTATTCGAGGAGTCTGAGGCCACGCGTTTAGGGTTTAGGGTTTAGGATTTAGAGAGAGAGGGTTTAGGGTTCAGGGTTTAGGGTTTAGGGTTTAGGGTGTGCTTTGCTGTAGGGCCTGTAGGGTTTCATGTAGGGTTTACACAGTTTAGGCCACCCTCCTTGACAGAGGGCCGAATCTTCCCCACAGCAGCTGCGGCCCTGGAAATGCCTTGCAGCAGCTAGTTAGATGGCAACAGCAGAGCCCCACCTGAAGAACCCAAAGCCCAGGTTGCCCAAGAATTTTGTAGGAGGTGTTCTTTGTGTCACAACCTGCAACAAAAAGGGCTCTTGAATTCTTAAGGGAAAGATCAGACAAGAACATTCCTAGCATTTTTGGGGGCCTTTTGGTCTTGGGAAGCATGCTGCGGCTTTCTGGCTTTCGGATGCTCTTCGGTCCCTGAACATCCCGGCAAACTTGACTTATAGGGCCGCTACCAAAGGGGTGCAACACTCGGAAGCCGCCGGCGGCAGATTTTCTTCAGTTGGCAGACAGTTTTCTCCATTATGCTTTTAGAAGGTTCGGAGCTGCTGTAACAGGGCCAGCCCCTTTACGCCAAAGGGATGACCTTAATACAAGCTGCCCAGAAACACCTCGACGGCCAAGACGTGCCAAAACCCTGAATGCAAGGTAGCCACAACAACCATGCGAAACCCTAAACCCTAAACCCTAAACCCTAAACCCTAAACCCTAAACCCTCAGAGTCCTATCAACCCCGCTTTGCTGTGGCTAGTCGGGTGCCAAAAAAACCCTCAGAGTCAGGCAGCTGAAGTTCGCAACTTCCTTGTCGACAGCGGCCTGCAACCTGCCATGCGTTAAACCTTAGAGACACGGGCTTGGGAGTGACAAACCGCTGTGAGCTTCCCGTGGTTTTAGGGTTTAGGGTTTAGGGTTTAGGGTTTAGGGTTTAGGGTTTAGGGTTTCTGCTGCAGCCGTGCATCATCCGTTCAAAGCAGGCACTCATATGCCGATGCTTTCATTGAGAATGGCTTCGACTGCATGGATGTGGTGCAGGAGTTGCTGCAAGGGTCAAGGGCCAGGGGATTCGCGGCTTGCGCAAAGTCGGGGGAAGTGAGAAGTTGAGACAGCAAATCAACCCAGACCCCTCAGAGGATCCAAAAAGTAGATCCAGAAAGTAGATCCAAAAAGTAGATCCACTTAAGGGTTCCTAAGTAAATCCAGAAAGTAGATCCAAGAAGTAGATCCACTTAAGGGTTCCTAAGCATGACCCAATAGTAGTACCCTATACTACCAGTGGGTCATCCTTCGGAGCCCTTAACGGTTTCTACTTTGTGGATCAAGCCCTAAACCCTAAACCCTAAACCCTAAGCCCTAAGCCCTAAGCCCTAAGCCCTCCCATGGTGCCAACCGTCCTGTGAGGAAATGGAAGAGCGGCACATGAGAGAGCTGGGCATGAAACCTGGCCACATGATCAAGCTGAAGCTGCGACCTGGCAGCTTGGGGTTTAGGGTTTAGGGTTTAGGGTTTAGGGTTTAGGGTTTAGGGTTTAGGGTTTAGGGTGTAGGGTGTAGGGTGTAGGGTGTAGGGTGTAGGGTTTAGGAGCCTCAGCAGGCCTGGGTTACAAAAGGGTTTAGGAATTAGGGTTTAGGGTTTAGGGTTTGGGGTTTAGGGTTTAGGGTTTGGGGTTTAGGGCTTAGGGGTTTCATTCGGGTTTAGGGGCTTCAGCGCTCCTCACCAGCGTGGAGGTTGCAAAGTAGGTCCCCGGCCCAAGGCGGCTTGCGTCCCGACTGCCATCCAGCAACTTGTCCTGACCATCACACATGTCAAGGGTACCCCCTATGCCACCCTTGCTGGAAATCCCTTTTTTTACCCGGGTCCTCGGATAGCAGAGTTGGTCAACGTGTTTTCCTGCTAAGCTGCTCCATCGGACCGCCGGCCAGGCCGGCAAAATGCACCGTTGTTTTCAGTATCTCTTCATTGTCTTGTCGTGCCGTGCTTAGTCCGGATCGTTGTTTTTTCCAAGCCACTCTGCCTTTCTGGTCAAGTAATCGAAGCCTGAACCCTGAACCCTGAACCCTAAACCCTAAACCCTAAACCCTAAACCCTAAACCCTGTCACTCAGCCCACCGTTTCTTTGGTCGCTGTTCTCATACCCTTCGCATCGTCGAACCAGCCTACGGCCTACGGGGTTGCCCACCGGCGCCTCTCGCTGGTTTCCTTTGAGGTGCTAGGGTTTAGGGTTTAGGGTTTAGGGTTTAGGGTTTAGGGTTTAGGGAAGCAATTTACCAGTTTTTGCTCGCAAAAGTCCTGTGAATCTAACCTCGGCGAGGTAGCAAGCTCTTCCAACAAGATGTAGCCCGAGGTGCGAGCGCGCTGGAAAGCAACATCCACCTGACAGCGGAGATGGTGCAGGATGCCTGGCAACAAAACACTGCTTAGCTCATGTTCTTGAACCGTGGGCGGCGTGCGACCCTAAACCCTCAACCCGATCGCAGGCAGTTTCCCCGTGTGCTTCACAGTCACAAGAGCTGGAGGCCCCCCAGACAGCGCAGGTGGGGCAAGCCGACCTATAGCTGGCTTTTTGGGGTTTAGGGTTTAGGGTTTAGGGTTTAGGGTTTAGGGTTCGGGTTTAGGGTAGGTTTAGGGTTTAGGTTTCAGGGGTTTCTTTTATTTGTTTAAAAGAAAGCCAGCCCAAGCGAAAATGGAACATGCTCATGGTTCCATGGGAAGTAGGACTGTAGTTGAAGGTGTGTTCCTTACTTAAGGCTTAAGGGGTCTTGAGCTTTCCGGGGCGATCATTTGATGAGGTGCGACGCACGATGCCGGCATCCCCTGCGCAGACCAACCTGGTGGAAGAGGTCTTGAGAAAGACTTGCGCTTGATACCCTAAACCTTAAAATCTCGAGGCGTGGACGTCAGTTTAGCTGGGCGGGGGGGGGCAGGGGGGGCGGGCAAAAATCTCAGGGGGGCGCATCTTGCCAGGGGCCCTCATGCCTGTTCTACACATATATATATATATATATATACTTTTTTACATATTATATATATATAGATATATAATATACACACATGTATGTATATATGACATGCTATATCAAGGGTGCATCTTGCCAGGGGCCCTCATGCCTCCTGCATGGTGAGCTGGATGAGGCTGCAGAGGCGGATTGGGGGGCATCTGAAAGTTCTGTTTTTCCGGAGCTCTGAGATGTTTAGGGACTCTTGCAAGATGTTGGGCTTTTGAGCCCTAAACCCCAAAACCTAGGATGACCTAGAGGGTTGCCGGTTGCAACGCCCAGGCTGTTGCTTTCCGAGAGGCCGTGGAGGCTTGCTGGGTGAGTGCTCCTGCATTGAGGCATCCCATGTGCGCGAATCACTGAGCTTTGAGCCTTGAGCCAAAGCAGCCGATGGAAGTCAGCCATGACTTGTGATTTTGCTGTGCAGCGCCCCGAGCTCCCGAACTGATCTGGGTGTAGAGGTGCCAGAGAGCATCGCGGAACTCGGCGTGCCATGGCCGTCCGACCCGAGAGCATCGAGGAATGGTGCCACCTGGTACCACATCTGCTCTTGGAAGAGGGTTGGCAGACCATCCTGGAGAATGGCTCATCCTCCATGTCGTGCTGCAGTAGCCCCTGGGGCGGCAGCCTCCTGCGCATCGTCCTTCGGGACCTTCTGGTCGTGGACCCGCCCGAAGATCCTGCCGATCTTTTGGTTCCTAGGCCCATGTTGGGGGACTTTTGTCTGCTCCCCTATTGGGTGTAAGAGGGTCCTATTTTCGGACAAACCCCAAACCCTGAACCTGAACCCCCAAACCATAAACCCGAACCCTCAATCCTAAACCCTATGGAAACCCTAAACCCTAAACCCAGGGGTTCTAAGGGGGCCAGCCGAGGTTCGTCCAGAGACCAAGATATGGAGTTGGCAGGTCAGACCGGAACTCAGCGCCGAATCTTGCACGGAGCTGCTCAGTATCAGAGTAGGTAACCTTCAGCCTTGTTCGGGTAGTCTAATCCCAGTACATTCCCAAAGGTTAACCTCCTAAACCCTAAACCCTAAACCCTAAACCCCTCAACCCCTAAACCCTAAACCCTACACCCTACACCCTAAACCCTAAACCCTAAACCCTAAACCCAAACCCTAAACCCTAAACCCTAACCCTAAACCCTAAACCCTAAACCCCAGGTTACTGGACAACTAAGGCTGTCGGAGCTGGCCCCTGGAGACTCCTGGTAGCCCAGTGGGTAGGGTTTAGGGTATAGGGTATAGGGTTTAGGGTTTAGGGTTTAGGGTTTAGGGTATAGGGTTTAGGGTTTAGGGTTTAGGCTTTAGGGCTTTAGGGCTTTAGGGTTTTAGGGTTTTAGGGTTTTAGGGCTTTAGGGTTTACGGTTTTAGGGTTTTAGGGCTTTAGGGTTTTAGGGTTTTAGGGCTTTAGGTAATTTAGGGCTTTAGGGCTTTAGGGCCCTTTTTGCCCCGTTTTTGGGTTTAAGGCTCCCTTCTAAAGTAGCCAGCCCCAAAAAGGCACCCTTCAGCATGATGGTTGCTGGTCCACCGAGGACTGCGTAATGCATTTGTGGGGGAGGTGGAAGATGCTAAAGCTCTTGGACGTCGTCTTTGGTTGCCTCGACCACTTTAGCCATCACGCAACATTGCGGGAGAGGCTGCGGCGCAACTTCCCCGAGAGGGGTGATTGTGCCAGTGTCATCCATGATGTTCGACAAGTCCTGGACTGGATTACCTTCACCCGTCGGCAGCCGGACCGATTCTACACGATGCAACTGCTGTGCCATAGCTGATAGGTTGCTGCCGTTTAAGCATGCTATAAATCGCCTCAGAACCCGAAGATTAGCCATTTGTCCCCTAGCGAACTGAGCCAGCAAGGTGTGGGATCCCCTCAGGCATACATCCGACCCAGTGGGTTGTTCCACACCTCCGGCTGACCTTGGACGTTGTGAGATCCACGGCGGCCTGGTACCTGAACATGCCCGGATGTGTGAGTCAGCGACGCTTCGACCAGACATTCTATGTGGTGCTGACCATGTCCAGTTTTAAGCGTGGTTGGCCGATGATCCCCACAGATGACCCCGAGGACAAAGACGTCACAGTGATCCAGGCCGGTCAGAGCCAGGGACTTGCCAATTGGGTCCAGTACGTTCCTTTGCAACATGGCCACAGCCACTTCTGTTTGTCGGACTACCTTCAACTTTTCTTGGAGAGGATGGGTGAGACCATGCCGGTCCATCAGTCGCTGGATGGTCAAGATGTGTTGCCGTACCAATGTGTCGTCGCACGAGAGCACTGGTGTCGAATGCATGAGCGGTTCCACCCAGCCTTTGCCTTGCAAAAGGCTGCGTACCGGCGTGCCAAGGGGGGGAAAACAGCACCCAAGATCGTTGAAGACATTGCGCCAAGGTTCTGCCAGGAAGTCAGATTGAGTTCTCTTCTGCAGCGCACCAGCGAAGCGCAAAGAAATATCCCAACTCGGGTTCACAACACCTTCATCGAAATGGATGAGCGTGGCAAATGTCATCAAAATCCCTCTCGCCATCGGTCAGCACCCCCTGGATGTCACTGCAGAGCAAGTCAAAACCACTCACCAGCAGCTTTGTCTTGTTGAAGTGCCCCCTTGTAAAGATTGTAAAGGCTGTGGATCGCGCGGTATCCTGTGCAGTTTGGACAGGAGTGGCTTGTGAAGGGCTTCGGGGCCGTGTCACGTTGTACACCACAACTTGGCATCGAAGCCAGCCATGTTGAAGATCCGCGCGGCGCAAGGAAATCTTGCCAGCGGCCGAGGTGCTGAAGCCAGAAAAAACACTGAAAAGCTCATGTGCGCTGACGACACCTCCGTCGGTGTGCCAGTTCAGCAGATGTAGGAATGTAGGACTCGGCCAACGCACGTAGGGCCAATGCGAGGAGCAAGTGAGTAGCTTGCGAAGATTATCAGAGGCCTGGCGAACTGGGCGGACGCCTGCCGAGAGCCCCGGGCAAACGGCACCTAGCACTAACAACCGAGCGACGCTCGAGCAGGTGGGTGGGCGGGCTTATAGAGCATCTTGGAATTCAGGTGGTTGAAGCACACCAGGATAAGCCAGGCACACCCTAAACCCTAGCACATAAACCCCTAACCCCAAACCCTAAACCTCTAAACCCTAAACCCTAAACCCCTAAACCCTAAACCCGTTTGACTACCGTGCAGGATGCATCGCCAAGCTACGGCCCCACCACCTCGAAGAGGTGCTGCTACCACTGCTACCGACGCCTGGCTCGGCTCCGGTTTAGGGTTTAGGGTTTAGGGTTTAGGGTTTAGGGTGTAGGGTGTAGGGTGTAGGGTGTAGGGTGTAGGGTGTAGGGTGTAGGGTTTAGGGTTTAGGGTTTAGGGTTTAGGGAGCTTCCTCAGTCCGTGCTCAAAAAAGGCTTTAGGGTTTAGGGTTTAGGGTTTGGGGATGTTTAGGGGATAATAGGGTCTAGGGAATAGGGTTTAGGGTTAGATCCGTACCCGCCGCTACCCAGCATTGTTCACCTCGGTAGGCCCTTGGGGCGTTTGATATTCCTTATTGTGTTTAAGAGGATCATATTCAGGAATACTTGGGTTTAGGGTTAGGGTTTAGGGTTTTGGGTTTAGGGTTTAGGGTTTAGGGTTTTTATTTCAGAGGGTCTTAAGGGCCATCCTGTTCACCATTACCCACAACGCTAACAGCCTGAGACTGAGCTTTATAGGTTTAGGGTTTAGGGTTTAGGTTTTGGGATTTAGGGTTTAGGATTTAGGGTTTAGGGTGAATAAATTCAGAGACTTGTGCAAAAAGATGGGGCTCCCGAGACTAGGAAGGTGATCCTGGCAGAATATCAAGAGATTGTAACACCTTGGGCGCAAGACCCCACAAATAAGCAGCCCGGCAATGAACATAAAAAGCATGCCCTGATATCAAAAGCCTGTGGTTTCGGCTGGGGCTCCCGAGACCAGAAAAGGGAACCTGGCAGAAGACACATGTAAAGCCTTGCAAGAAGCACCCCGATAGTAAACATAAAAACCATGCCCGTCCCGCTCCGCTACTGTTCCGCAAACATGTGGATGCAGTGAGTGCTGAGCAGGGTTTAGGGTTTAGGGTTTAGGGTTTAGGGTTTAGGGTTTAGGGTTTAGGGTTTAGGGTTTAGGGTTTAGGGTTTCAATACCTCCGCACTGTCAGGACAGTTCCTTGTGCCATTCGACGACGTCTCGCCAATGGCTTGGCAGTTCCACTCTGCATGTGCTGCAAATCGTCCTAGGCCTAAACCTTATGAAACCCTAAAGCCGATCAACCTAGCGAAGCTCCGCGGGGCAACCCTGATGCTAGGCGGGTGGCAAAAGAAAGCCTTAACATCTCTTTAATCTCTTGTCTTCACTGCTCACGCGAGCTTTTGCTTGGGGGGGGGGGGGGGGGGGAAGGTTGGCGGTGGCCGAAAAATCATGTTGCCAAGTGCCCAAGTGCCCAAAAACAGCGCCTCTCACGTTCCCGCACAAGCTTCGGTGTCCTTGCTCTCAGCATCTTAACAAGCTGCAGTCAGCGTCAGCATCTTGAGTGCCCTGTTCTTGCGCAATTAAATAAAGGATCTTGCAGGAGACCGTTGGAGGCATCAGCAGGGGCTTAGGAGGCTTCAGGAGGCATGCATTATGGGGAGTCTGAAGGTTAGAGGCTGACACCATATTGCAGGTGACCCATCCGTTTTGTCAGCTTTTTTTGTGGTGCAGAAGTTTCAATGGTGTGTTTGTTGTCTGGGGACGTCTGGCCATGTATATATATGCAAAAACCTACAAGGGTGGCAGGTTCTTTGAAGAGACCAAAGACACCGACCTCAACGATGTATGCGCACCCAAATGGTCAGGATCCTTTTGAATACCTAAGAAGGGCTCATAAGAGCCGCTCCCCAGCCGCATACTGGTCTGTAGTCCTAGAAACCCTAAACCCTAAACCCTAAACCTAGAGCACCATCCTTTCTTTTCAAGCTCTCATGTTCGCAAGAACTGAATCCTTCTTCTCAATTTGAGGCAAGGCTTGACTTGTGCCGCCCGGATATTGTTGCTGGGGCAAAAGTGCTCCACAAGTGCATGTGGACAAGACTTGCCACATGCTTCTGCTCTAAGGCCGGAAGACGGGTCAACTTCCTTTTGCTCGGAGACATGTGCTGAACGCGCCCATGAGGCTCAAAGACGGCGGGATGCTTGTCCTGTTGTGCGGTTTAGGTGTTGCTTGGACCACCAAAGTATGCGCAAAAAAAGTCCATTCTGTTACATGCTTTGGGGGTTTAGATTTTGGCTAAGTTTTGCTAGGGTTTTGGCTTGCAGGTAGGGCTGGGATGTTTTTGTAAGCTGAAGGGTTCGCCGTGCACTTCACCATGCTGCGCATGGCGGTGTAGCACGTCGCCCACGTTTAGGGTTTAGGGTTAGGGTTTAGGGTTTTTCTGCTGAGGAAGATGCCAAGCAGAAGAAGCTCGCAGAAATGCAGCAGCAAACATGACCCCTCTGAATTCGGAGAAAAGATGCGAGCTTCGCCTAGAGGAGCGTGCATGATGCAAATGCTTTGTTGAAAATAGCTACTTCCTCTCGTGTTTTGTGGTGGGCGGTTCCTACATGATCCTTGTCTGGATGATGCCTTGCAACGCCTTGTTCTAGTTAACGAGTCGGGCCTTCGACAACGATAGCCTCATCCAATCTGCCTGGGCATGTCCCAAATAGGGGTGACCCCAAAATAGTTTAATCCTCCTAAGCCCTACCCCCCGCCCCCCCCCCACCACCAAAGACAAATGTATAATAATAAAATAAAGTAAGAAGAAGAATAAGAAGAAGAATCAGAACAGAAGAAAAACAAAACACGGGTACCCTAAACCCCAAACTCTAAACCCAAAACAAGAACAAACAAACAAAAAAGGGGGCGGTACCGGAAATGCCCTACAAAATGGGCCGGAACCACGGAATCGTCGTTGCTAACCGGTCCAGAGGGGTGGTTGGAATACCCCTAAACCCTAAACCCGAAACCCCGAAACCCCGAAACCCCGAAACCTCACACACGTTTCAGGCCTCGGCCTGCCTGTTGAAGTTTGAGTAGGGTTTAGGGTTCAGGGTTCAGGGTTCAGGGTTCAGGGTTCAGGGTTCAGGGTTCAGGGTTTAGGGTTTAGGGTTTAGGGTTTAGGGTTTAGGGTTTAGGGTTTAGGGTTTAGGGTGTTTGAGTAGGGTAGAGTAGGATAGGGTAGGGAAGGTAGGCTAGGGTAAGGTAGGCTTTTTTTGGGGCTTTGTAGAAACAAGGTATAGGGTTTGGGTCCCAATAGCGTTTTGACCGAAACGTTTTGTAGTTTGGAACTGTTTTTTTTTTCAATTTTTTTTGGGGGGGAGGCGGCGGGGGGGG